GTCTTACATATGTGGTGTACAAGGTTCTGAAGGATTCCTTACACAAGTTCCTGAAGGCAGTTCTGATGTTAGCCAGCCTCGCATACGCCCCCGATGTTATTCTTTTTATGTGGGCTTCAGGAGACAGAGTTGGTGTGATATCAACTCCTAGATCTTTCTCTCTGTCCGTTTCATGAAGGACTTTATCTCCCATTCGGTATCCTGTGTCTGGCCTCCTGATTCCACCACCTAGTTTCATTACCTTACATTTACTCGGGTTGAACTTTAATAGCCATTTGTTGAACCATTCATTCAGTTTGTCAAGGTCATCTTGTAGCCTCCTACTATCTTCCTCTGTTTTAATCCTCATAATTTTTGCATCATCAGCAAACAATGAAAGGAACGATTCAATACCCTCTGGGCGATCATTTATATATATCAGAAACAGTATTGGTCCAAGGACTGAACCCTGCAGGACTCACAGGGTGTGGAGTGTGTACACTTGACCCCCTCCTGTACCCTGTACCGTACAGTGTATAGTGTACACTCACCAGTCATCATTAAGACTCACTGTACACCTTCCTGTACCCTGTACCATACAGAGTGTCCACTCACCAGTCATTATTAAGACTCACTGTACACCTTCCTGTACCCTGTACCATACAGAGTGTCCACTCACCAGTCATTATTAAGACTCACTGTACACCTTCCTGTACCCTGTACCATACAGAGTGTCCACTCACCAGTCATTATTAAGACTCACTGTACACCTTCCTGTACCCTGTACCGCATGTATTATTTTGTATACCTTGACCCCTCAAGATGCAAGCCTCGTCCGGAGCAATAAATCAACCCCAAAAAGGAAAATAATATAAATTTGACTGAGAATAATTGTGTCATATGTGGGGGTTTAGCCAGCCCCGTCAGTACGGTACTAGAACACTATTATGTAAGACATCTCAACACAGCTCACGGGATGATGCCATATTTCTTAGTACTATGAAACACTTACGTACGATAACTCAGCCTTTCTCGAGCATGCCACAATAAGCCACTTTGTGTATGATAGCTCGAGCTACGATGTCGGATAATGGCTCTCTGGCCGCTTACGACAGATCCCCTTGGCGTACAACAACTTGACCTGTCGAGGGAGATAAATTAAATCCTTTTGAGTACGATGGTTTATGTCCTCGTGATCAGGGAGGCATGTCTGCCAGAGCCACGATGCCGCCAGGAGGGGAGGAGGAGGAGGAAGGCCATCCTTGGAGGCAAAGGATAAGCAGATTTACTTCTACTTAAGAGACGAAATATTAGACTTTTTGTGCTGGGTGCGGCGCTGTTTTTTGGTGTAATCTCGCCTGCACGCCTCCCACTTTACCCAGAGCAGCGTAAACATCCCGGGACTTGCCTCACAGCCCTTGCATACTAATTACAAGCCAGTTCCCGACGCTAAAAAAGAATATACAACTTTAAAAAATAAATATGTTTTGCTACGGGGCTGCTTTTCTGCTGTATGGAGCCTGTGTTGACTGCCAGGTTTTGTGGGTTTTAATGCTGGTACGATAGTAAATGTGTGTGTGTGTGAGACATTGACGTCTCAGGGAAGGTAACTTTTCCCCTACGTACGATAACAGCCTAATGAGCACGATTTATACCTCTAGATAACCATCTTTTAAATAGCCATGTATTCATCTCCCAAGGAAGACAATGTCAACATTTGCAGCACGATACATTCGTTTTAAGGCTAGATCTACCCTCTTTTTTTTTATTTTTTAGGTACGACGTCAGCACGCTCTAGATGGGGAAATAAAATCTCATAGGCCTTGTATAGCTAAACTCGTGAGGTCTTGCGTGGACACTATGGGGTTATCTTGAGATGATTTCGGGGCTTAGCGTCCCTGCGGCCCGGTCCTCGACCAGGCCTCCACCCTCAGGAAATAGCCTGTAGCAGCTGTCTAACTCCCAGGTACCTATTTACTGCTAGGTAATAAGGGCATCAGGGTGAAAGAAACATTTTTGCTCATGTTTCTCCGCCTCCACCGGGGACCGAACCCTGAACCTCAGGACTATGAATCCAAAGCGCTGTCCACCCAGCTGTCAGGCGCCCCAAGAGGTCAAGTTACTTATGTCAGCTTTTCCAACTTCTACAGAACCTACAAGAGGTAGACAACAGGTAGTTAACAGGTAAGTAGTACTAACAACATGCTAACTTACAGCAATCAAGGAAGGGAAGGGAACTATCAGGAGAGAAAACCAAGCCATTATGACTATAGTGTTCAGAATAGAAAGCCTCTAATGTTATCCAGGTGTCCCTTAGGCCTAGGGCATAGGCCAACCACTGATCTTCCTCAGGATGCAACCCACAACAGTTGCCTAAATTTTGTCTACTTATTTTCTACTAGGTGAATAGAGGCATCAGGTGTTAGAAAAACATGCCTGTATATATAAATAACCGACTCGTCCTGCCCGGGAATCGAACTCGGATTCAATGTTATATATACGAGCCAATGGCGCCATGTCTAACCTTAGACTAATATCAGCCCGAGATCAAAACAAAAAAGCTTTACAAACGGCTGCTGAAAAAGCTTCAAAAGATCAAAGGTTTCTGCGAGGGTAACATAGGGTGTAGGGGTCCCCTCGACGACGAAGAGTAGGGTATGGTATGCCGGGGAGCGAGGGTGTAGGGGTCCCCTCGACGACGAAGAGTAGGGTATGGTATGCCGGGGAGCGACTTCCCGCCAGACAGCGCACTCGCCGCCTGGTATCCTGAGACCATGTTGTCGTCGTCTTACAAGCCTTCCACATCCATCTTTACGCACAAATATTTCTGAGACTCTTAAATTCTTAGTTTATAATGACTTTTGCAACAGTCCGGGTGCTGCGTTTGCGAGCGGAAGGCATTATTCGCTCCTAAAGTGTGGTTTAATTGCTATACCGTGTGTGTTTTTATATCATATAAGCCCGGCCCTAATTTCAGACACCTGTTCTCAGTGTCTTTTTTTTTCTATCTGAAAATTATATTATAATTAAGGGTTGTTATTTCTGGATTTCTACAATATTTGAATATTAGTTATTGCAAGTTAGTGTTGCAGAGACTTACCGGATTTGGAAGGTATATGTTGGCGGATTTGAAATTTTGTGTTAGTGGATTTGGATTTTTTTGTTAGTGGATTTGGATTTTTTTGTTAGTGGATTTGGATTTTTTGTGGATTTGGATTTGTTTTTGTTGGGCGTTTGCCACTTTTTGTTGAGCAGTCATATTTCCCATAGGAATCGTATTTTGAAAACTGCCGGGGAATTTGGCCAACATATAACCAATTGGCAAACGAGTGGCAAACGTCCAACAAAAAAGTAGCAACTGTGTGTTATTAGTATCATCTTAACTCTTGTGGGTTGTGATGAGATCTGCCATTTATGTGTATTTTAGTTTGTGTTTGATAAGGTATTAGGTATGCTTAGGGGTGCCTTCCCGCCATGCCCTGTGGCTGGAGGGATTGGTGCCCTGAAGCTACATAAACACCCTATACCCACCCGAAGTGGCAAGGGGAGTTAGGGGACAAGACAAACGACAAAGAAAAATAGTGTCAAACACTCAACAAAAAATATCCCAAACATGAAACAAAAAATTCCAAAAAGGCCCAACGGAAATTTTTTCCAAATTACCAACAAAAAAAAGTGCCAAAGGAAACAAGGAAAGAAAACAAGGGAACGGGAAAGGAAAAACAAGGAAAAACAAAATATGTCGTTAAGCACATTCCCAGACATGATAAGTAAGGTGGAAATATCTCTCTATGTCGGGTATTTTCTCTCGTATAGCCTCATGGCTTCGGTGTTTCTTAACCCAGTGTTGGCGTCAGGCGTTCCCGAATGTAAACACAATCAATACTAGCAGCTGAAACTCTTGGTAGCTTTTGCTGAGGCTGTTGTGTACTTGTTGTACACAGAGAAATCACATTAACGTGATGTTGCAATGAGAAAATGATATATCGACTAGAGCGTGCATCTGGGAACACACATGCGCATACATTCGAACCCCCATCACGGCACCTATGGATTTTCTGCTGTTGATGGAGCTATCCTGGGTGGCTTTAGTGACTTTAGCTGAGGCTATTGAATACATCATATAGCTACCCCAGGCGGCTCTTACTCCCAGCAGGTGTTGGCTTGTTCGCTGTTTACTGGGATGACAATGTTGAAGCAGAACACGTGATTACATGCACACTTCAGAGCAGGGGTGGAGAGCATTTTTTGAGTGCATGTGTCCCAGTTGACAAAGATCTAAGAAATTATCTCATGTGCCCATGGGAATTTTGATCTGCAGATTATAGTCATTTTAATATTGGTGTCTTACCATTTTTGACAGAGAAAGGGAACAAGATGCTTGAAAACATTCTTGAAATCTCTTAAAAAAAAAATAATAAATATATTATGGGTAGGGTTTAAAGATTTACAATGCGGTACTGTGTGCTGCATGCCGCCTTGGGCACGTGTGCCATAGGTTCGCCACACCTGCTCTAGACTCTAGACCATAACTCTTGGCGAGACGTCAAACTACACACTCGGCTTTGTTGATGATTTTAAGTATTAGCACAAAGGCTTGCCTCCAGTGTGTAATATATTGTACATTACAGAAGCTACAGTGCGGGGAGTTTGCTACTAGCCATGATTATAATTATATATTGTACAGGTATATTGTTACAGTTTTTTGTAGAATATTCCCCGAGGTCTATTAAGGCCGTTTGGGCAAACTGAAATCTTTTTGCGCTACGGCTCACAGGATGAGTATGGGGTGCACAATAAACCACCAATCTCATAAGGATAGAGTAGGCTATTTCTATCCTCTATTGAGCGCCTCAGGTACCGTATTGGGTACTCGCCTAGTTGTGCTTGCGAGGATATGGGGGGGGGGTTGAGCTTCGGCTCTTTGGTCCCGGCTCTCAACTGTCAATCTACTGGGTGGTGGTGGTGTTCTGGTCGGGCAGTTGCATGGTTCCCGTTCGTCATTTTTCTTATTCATTGTCTCAACTACTTCCGTTCTCTGTGTCTCGTTCCTGGTCCTCTGTGCCTCGTTCCTGGTCCTCTGTGCCACGTTCCTGGTCCTCTGTGTCTCGTTCCTGGCCCTCTGTGTCTCGTTCCTGGCCCTCTGTGTCTCGTTCCTGGCCCTCTGTGCCACGTTCCTGGTCCTCTGTGTCTCGTTCCTGGTCCTCTGTGCCACGTTCCTGGTCCTCTGTGTCTCGTTCCTGGCCCTCTGTGTCACGTTCCTGGCCCTCTGTGTCTCGTTCCTGGCCGTCTGTGTCTCGTTCCTGGTCCTCTGTGCCACGTTCCTGGTCCTCTGTGTCTCGTTCCTGGTCCTCTGTGTCTCTTTCCTGGTCCTCTGTGTCTCGTTCCTGGCCCTCTGTGCCACGTTCCTGGTCCTCTGTGTCTCGTTCCTGGTCCTCTGTGCCTCGTTCTTGGTCCTCTGTGTCTCGTTCCTGGTCCTCTGTGCCTCGTTCCTGGTCCTCTGTGTCTCGTTCCTGGTCCTCTGTGTCTCGTTCCTGGTCCTCTGCGCCACGTTCCTGGCCGTCTGTGTCTCGTTCCTGGTCCTTTGTGCCACGTTCCTGGTCCTCTGTGTCTCGTTCCTGGTCCTCTGTGTCTCGTTCCTGGCCCTCTGTGCCACGTTCCTGGTCCTCTGTGTCTCGTTCCTGGTCCTCTGTGCCTCGTTCCTGGTCCTCTGTGCCTCGTTCCTGGTCCTCTGTGTCTCGTTCCTGGTCCTCTGTGCCACGTTCCTGGCCCTCTGTGTCTCATTCCTGGTCCTCTGTGTCTCGTTCCTGGTCCTCTGTGCCACGTTCCTGGTCCTCTGTGTCTCGTTCCTGGTCCTCTGTGCCTCGTTCCTGGTCCTCTGTGTCTCGTTCCTGGTCCTCTGTGTCTCGTTCCTGGTCCTCTGTGCCTCGTTCCTGGTCCTCTGTGTCTCGTTCCTGGTCCTCTGTGTCTCGTTCCTGGTCCTCTGTGTCTCGTTCCTGGTCCTCTGTGTCTCGTTCCTGGTCCTCTGTGTCTCGTTTCTGGTCCTCTGTGCCACGTTCCTGGTCCTCTGTGTCTCGTTCCTGGTCCTCTGTGTCTCGTTCCTGGTCCTCTGTGTTTCGTTCCTGGTCCTCTGTGTCTCGTTCCTGGTCCTCTGTGCCTCGTTCCTGGTCCTCTGTGTCTCGTTCCTTGGTCCTCTGTGTCTCGTTCCTGGTCCTCTGTGCCACGTTCCTGGCCCTCTGTGTCTCGTTCCTGGCCGTCTGTGTCTCGTTCCTGGTCCTCTGTGTCTCGTTCCTGGCCCTCTGTGCCTCGTTCCTGGTCCTCTGTGTCTCGTTCCTGGTCCTCTGTGCCACGTTCCTGGTCCTCTGTGTCTCGTTCCTGGTCCTCTGTGCCTCGTTCCTGGTCCTCTGTGTCTCGTTCCTGGTCCTCTGTGTCTCGTTCCTGGTCCTCTGTGTCTCGTTCCTGGTCCTCTGTGTCTCGTTCCTGGTCCTCTGTGTCTCGTTCCTGGTCCTCTGTGTCTCGTTCCTGGTCCTCTGTGCCTCGTTCCTGGTCCTCTGTGTCTCGTTCCTGGTCCTCTGTGCCTCGTTCCTGGTCCTCTGTGTCTCGTTCCTGGTCCTCTGTGCCACGTTCCTGGTCCTCTGTGTCTCGTTCCTGGTCCTCTGTGCCACGTTCCTGGTCCTCTGTGTCTCGTTCCTGGTCCTCTGTGTCTCGTTCCTGGTCCTCTGCGCCTCGTTCCTGGCCCTCTGTGCTACGTTCCTGGTCCTCTGTGTCTCGTTCCTGGTCCTCTGCGCCTCGTTCCTGGCCCTCTGTGTCTCGTTCCTGGCCCTCTGTGTCTCGTTCCTGGTCCTCTGTGCCACGTTCCTGGCCCTCTGTGCCTCGTTCCTGGCCCTCTGTGCCACGTTCCTGGTCCTCTGTGTCTCGTTCCTGGCCCTCTGTGTCTCGTTCCTGGCCCTCTGTGTCTCGTTCCTGGTCCTCTGTGCCACGTTCCTGGTCCTCTGTGCCACGTTCCTGGTCCTCTTTGCCACGTTCCTGGTCCTCTGTGCCACGTTCCTGGCCCTCTGTGTCTCGTTCCTGGTCCTGTGTGCCACGTTCCTGGTCCTCTGTGCCTCGTTCCTGGCCCTCTGTGTCTCGTTCCTGGCCCTCTGTGCCTCGTTCCTGGTCCTCTGTGCCACGTTCCTGGTCCTCTGTGCCTCGTACGTCATTTTGGGCTGACCCGCAGCCACCACAACACCGACCTTGGAGGCCACGGACGCCCCCCAACAGCGTCCTTAGACCTCATAACCCCCTGTTCAAAGGGGAAGGTGGTGGTGGTAGTGGCAATCAGAATCAAGTCATTCAGACAACCACTCAGTAGAGATGCCATCAGGAAGCGCCCCGCCCTCCCCCGGAGGCAAGCAGTTTGACCCAGTTTCCTTGCACCTCATGCTACTGGTATTCCCTAACCTGTTCCGTCAGTTAGAGCCGAGTTGTCGTAAGGTATTCGATGTCGCAGGGTGTAGGGGGAGGGGGAGGTGGCAGCCTGTTGTATCGCTGTCTAATCGTAAGTCATCGTCAGATTCAGTCATCAGAACTGGTGACAACTGGTGCGCCTTTTATAGGAAAAATATTCAGCTTTTCAATTGTTATGTTGGTGGGGTATTGTTGTAAAATTAATGGGTGGTGGTGGTGGTACAGCCAGCACCACGTACACCAGTGGGTGGTGGTGGTGGTGGTACAGCCAGCACCACGTACACCAGTGGGTGGTGGTGGTGGTGGTACAGCCAGCACCACGTACACCAGTGGGTGGTGGTTGTGGTGGTACAGCCAGCACCACGTACACCAGTGGGTGGTGGTGGTGGTGGTACAGCCAGCACCACGTACACCAGTGGGTGGTGGTGGTGGTGGTACAGCCAGCACCACGTACACCAGTGGGTGGTGGTGGTGGTACAGCCAGCACCACGGACAACAGTGGGTGGTGGTGGTGGTGGTACAGCCAGCACCACGTACACCAGTGGGTGGTGGTGGTGGAGGCGTCCCACACCGCCCACTTGCTTACACCCAAGATGGCACTCGGGGCCTCGATAGACAGTTTTAACTACTAACATTTACCCTTATGAGTATCTACTTCCTTTATCTTCGATTAATAAATATAAAATTTAATAAATTTTGTACTCTGTGGTTAAATTTGTTTGAGATTAATAAAGTAAAGATTGCATATCTGTTATCCCCGAGAGGAGAGTTATCGTACAGCCGTGAGGTTGAGCTGCAACACAGGGATTGCTATCGTATTGAAAAGATTAAATTGCAGTATTGAGGTCTTGTAAGCTGTTGTCCACTTATCATTCATTGCTGAGAATGTGATTTTTGGCCGAAATATCTCGTTGAGGTTGCGTGAATGGCGAGCCAGGCGGCGTGATTGGCACAGTGCCTGCATTTGGCACTGTGGTGGTGAAGGGAGGGGGCGAGTCACGGTGCTGGTGCCAGAAGGGCCACACACACATGTTTCCTGCAGTCTCTCCTGAATGTAAACATTACCCGTTTTCTCTGATGTTGGTTGATGCTCAATTGTTTTTGTTTCTTTTTTTATTTATTTATGTATGTATGAGAAAGCGCAGTAGCTTTTGGGAAGCGATTTCATTTGTTTCGCAAAGGGTTCGTTGACATTCATATGCCAACCCGTCCTCAAACTAGGCTGTTTAAAGCAGCGGCCGACCTCCCCAGACGCATTCATCAATTTTAACTTACTGTGTATTAAAAATTAGTTTGTTCTCATGTATAAATTAATATTATTATTATATATGTATATAAATTATATGTATAGTTAGACGTAGGTTAGGTGTTTAGGTTCTGTTGGCGATTATTTGTAGTACGTGGGTGAAGCATTTCAACCCATCCTCGACTCAAGTCCATTACATCCAGCGGTCGACCCCACAGACGCATTCATAAATTTTAATATGCTGTTCATTCAAAACGGGAATTTTCTCAAGTATAAATTAATATTATAATATATTAGCATATTGTGTATATATAGGCATAGGTTAGGTTAGGTTAGGTGTTTAGGTTCTGTTGGCGATTATTTGTATTTGTAGTACGTGAGTGAAGCATTTATAGCGTTGTGATTCGAACAAAATTCGTCAGTGAAACACTTACTCCGGATATGTTCGAACGTCAGCAGTTGTGAGTCGTGTGTAAACCGCTTTTCATTCATAAACAGGGGGTTTGGCGGGTGCATGGAATCACTTTTGGATCTTTGTTTGGAGGACGGGCTGAGCATTTACAACGTTGTGGTTCGAACAAGATTCGTCAGTGAAGCACTTGTTCCGGATATGTTCGAACGTCAACAGTTGTAAGTCGTGTGTAAACCGTTTTTCATTCATAAACAAAGGGGGTTTGGCGGCTGGATTAACGAGCTTGGATCTTTGTATACAAGGACGGGCTGCATATTCTAGTGTTTGCCTTCGTTTGAGTGGTGTTTGTACTCAAACCTCATATGTTTACACTCAGAATAGGCTTCCTGTATATATCAAATGTTAGGGGTGACATGAATGAAATGTATAAAGCGATGAATGGGTATAACAAAGCGGATATATATAATATATCAACACAAAATATAACTCTAAACAATGGATATAAATTGGGGAAGTGTAGAGTGAGGAATGACCTGGGTAAATACTGGTTTAGAAATGTGGAAGTTGCTGATTTATGGAACACAAAGTACCGGCTAGACTGTGGTTGTTTCAAGCGTAGGTGTCACCCCAGAGAGACACGTATATGTCTCTCTGGGGTGGATCTACACATAGCTACTTCGCATGGCCCAACAAGCCTTCTTGTAGATTCCTTAATCCTTCTCATTCCTTTTTCCTTTATAATGATGTTGTTTCTTGTGTTTGCAGTGGTGTTGGCCCGCGTCCGTCGACTGACAGAGACACCCAGCGGTGACATGGCTTACAAGGTCAAGGTCAAGAAACTGGTCAAGGTCAGTGGTGCTTCCTCTGGCAGCCCTTTCTCCACTTTGGTGTTTCATGTTGTAGTCTGTTTTACGTGTGTGTTTACGTTGTGCGTGTGTGATTTTTGTTTGTTTTCCGGTGGTTAAGCGCAGAGGTGTGTGTGTGGTGCCTTACGCTCTCTCAAGGCTGCCTGGAACTATATATATATATATATACCAAGAGCATGTCTCATTATGGAAACCTTAATCAAGTCCTGCATAAGTTAAAATCAAACCTGCATGTAGTGAAGGATGTAGAGCGCCTCAATGAGGAAAATGTCAAGCTCCAAACACATGTGTGTTTTGGAGACTTGATATAGCATACTATAGCTCACTATCCACTGGGTGGATATAGCACACTATCCACTGGGTGGATATAGCACACTATCCACTGGGTGGATATAGCACACTATCCACTGGGTGGATATAGCACACTATCCACTGGGTGGATATAGCACACTATCCACTGGGTGGATATAGCACACTATCCACTGGGTGGATATAGCACACTATCCACTGGGTGGATATAGCACACTATCCACTGGGTGGATATAGCACACTATCCACTGGGTGGATATAGCACACTATCCACTGGGTGGATATAGCACACTATCCACTGGGTGGATATAGCACACTATCCACTGGGTGGATATAGCACACTATCCACTGGGTGGATATAGCACACTATCCACTGGGTGGATATAGCACACTATCCACCCACCAGGGGTCAGATTCACGAAAGCACTTACGCAAGCACTTACGAACCTGTACATCTTTTCTCAATCTTTGGCGGCTTTGTTTACAATTATTAAACAGTTAATGAGCTCTGAAGCACCAGGAGGCTGTTTATAACAATAACAACAGTTGAATGGGAAGTTTTCATGCTCATAAACTGTTTAATAAATGTAACCCAAGCCGTCAAAGATTGGGGAAAGATGTACACGTTCGTAAGTGCTTGCGCGAGTGTTTTCGTGAATCTGGCCCCAGGACTGTGCCTTCATTATGCTGACACATGTCTTAGCAACGTGACCAAGGAGCTAAAGCAATGATACCAAGCCGGTGATACTCAATATTCTTGGAGTCACTGAATTACTTGAATCAGTTCTAACCATATTACTCCTCAACCGGAGAGATATCGTCAAGAGCTCGCACTGGAAAACCAACCCCGTCACTTGTTGGTGAACCAGAAGTAAGTCTGCTGAGCTAGACACAACCAGAAGTAAGTCTGCTGAGCTAGACACAACCAGAAGCAAGTCTGCAGCTTTAAATATGCTGGAGAAGCACGTCTGTGCTCTGTACCTGTCTGCCGCCAGGGGGGGTGTGTAGGGCTGGCAGCCGTGCGTGTCACCCCCATCATCGTCCTAACCCCCCACCAAGGTCACGACGCCGAAGCAGCATTGCTGTTTGTGGGGAGCATGATGACGCGTGACCACTAAAGCATTAAAGCACCGGCCTCAAGGGTGAGCCTGCAGCACGCCGCCACTGTGGATTAAAGCCGTCGACGGTGAACTGTTCACCCAGTCTAGCTCACTGTCCCTCACTGCTACGGTGAAGACCGCCTAAGGATGTGAGAATGCGGGTCGGAAGTACACCCCCGTGCCACTATAGTGACTTAAGTAACTGCTATTGATTACTTTACGCCATTAACTAACAAGGTAGAGTACCATTTTGTGTGTCTGCGATATGTGTATGCAGTTTCCCAAAGGATTCCTCATTAGTTTTGTATTCGCTTAAGTTGTAACAAACTCGTAGTTACTAGTAATACCAAACTACAAATTGGATACAATTATGTTTCTTAATTTTTATTATTGTTATTACAAATTGTAAAGATGTGGCAGTAAAGTGAGGTCCAACTCTACCGCCAGGGGTCGGAGAAGGTGGAGGTGATCTTGCAGAAGGGCCTCATCTATACCCCACCGAGCACCTGCATGGCCAAGCTCAAGGCCCGCACCGTCCACGTCATCACGGGCACCGTGGCGGGCGGGAAGCCCTGGGTCGACCTCTGTGACTACGCCGCCCCCATCAGGAGCCTCACGCCCAAGATGAAGAAGGGCTTCCGCCTCCTCTACCAGAGCGGCTGCGACTGTCCGGTAAGGTTTTGGGGGGCTCTTTCTTGTGCCTTCTAAGCCGTCGGTGGAGGAAGGATTTGAAGCTGAAAGGATCTTTGTAAAACTCAATATATTAAGTCCCTGCCAGTTTGACTTCCGTTCTCAAAAGAGTACCAATGATGCCATTATTAGTCTGCTTGATATAATCTACACAGCCCTTGACAAAAATGAGTTCCCAAGTGGCCTCTTCATTGACCTGAGAAAGGTCTTTGATACTGCAGGCGAGGAGTCACAGTAACATGGCTAAAATATGTTGACCAGACCACACACTAGAAGGTGAGGGGACGACGACGTTTCGGTCCGTCCTGGACCATTCTCAAGACAATCGACTTGAGAATGGTCCAGGACGAACCGAAACGTCGTCGTCCCTTCACCTTCTAGTGTGTGTTCTGATCCACGTCTTTGATACTGTAAACCATAACTACCTCTTAATTAAACCTCACCACTGGTAATCAAGGCCTTGCTCTGGACTATATTCGTTCCTATTTCAGTGACACACACCAATATGTAGCCATCAATAACATAGCCTCCCCCACTCTACCATTGACAGTAGGAGTGCCACAGGGCAGCATCTTAGGACCTCTCCCATTTCTTGTATACATTCAAGATTTTCCCAAATGTTTCTAACATTCTTAAACCTATACTATTTGCTGACGATACTTCCTTCATCTATTCTGACCCCCCAACCCTCACAGACACAATAATATTGCAATGAATTAAACAAAGTAAACTCGCCTCACATATTTGCCACCCCCCCCCCCCCCACCCTCCACCTCACACCTTGTGTACATTTGGGTAAATGTTTTTGGGTGGATATGAACGGCAACTGCATTGTATTATATTGTATTATACTGCCAATAGATCTGTAGTGTCCTTGATTTTATTATGTTCTAATGAAGCTGTATTTTTTTCAGATCATGCCCTGCTACTCATGGGAGGAGTGCCCCAAGGCCAGCTTCTTCTGCGGGTGGGAGACGGCCTTTGAGAAGAACGATTGCCAGGGACGACAGTCTGTGAGTCCGGCGGCTGTTCTTATGTGTATTGTTTACCAGCATGATGTTGCTGGGACGGTTGTGTGTGTTGCAGGGGCAGTTGGGCGTGTTGCAGGGGCGGTTGTTTGTGTTGCAGGGGCAGTTGTGTGTGTTGCAGGGGCGGTTGTGTGTGTTGCAGGGGCAGTTGTGTGTGTTGCAGGGGCGGTTGTGTGTGTTGCAGGGGCAGTTGTGTGTGTTGCAGGGGCGGTTGTGTGTGTTGCAGGGGGCGGTTGTTTGTGTTGCAGGGGCAGTTGTGTGTGTTGCAGGGGCAGTTGTGTGTGTTGCAGGGGCGGTTGTGTGTGTTGCAGGGGCAGTTGTGTGTGTTGCAGGGGCGGTTGTGTGTGTTGCAGGGGCGGTTGTGTGTGTTGCAGGGACAGTTGTATGTGTTGCAGGGGCAGTTGTATGTGTTGCAGAGGCAGTTGGGCATGTTGCAGGGGAGGTTGTGTGTGTTGCAGGGGCAGTTGTATGTGTTGCAGGGGTGGTGTTGTGTGTGTTGCAGGGGCAGTTGTATGTGTTGCAGGGGCAGTTGTATGTGTTGCAGGGGCAGTTGTATGTGTTGCAGGGCGGTTGTTTGTGTTGTGTGTGTTGCAGGAACATTGTTAAGCTGCTACTTGTACCTACATTTTAAATTGTATTCCAAATATTTCCCCCAATTTTTGCTCATTAAATAAATGCCGACACGGCTCCTAGAGATATACTGTACTGTATTGATAAGGTATACAGTATTGTATACCTTATCAAGGTATACTCAAGGTATTGATAAGAGGTTGCGAAAGAATTTTGTGAGAAAGTTGACTGTCCAAAAGGCACTTGATGTGTGTCATAAGAACATAAGAACATAAGAACAAAGGCAACTGCAGAAGGCCTGTTGGCCCATACGAGGCAGCTCCTATTCTATAACCACCCAATCCCACTCATATACTTGTCCAACCCGTGCTTGAAACAATCGAGGGACCCCACCTCCACAATGTTACGCGGCAATTGGTTCCACAAATCAACAACCCTGTTACTGAACCAGTATTTACCCAAGTCTTTCCTAAATCTAAACTTATCCAATTTATACCCATTGTTTCGTGTTCTGTCCTGTGTTGATACTTTTAATACCCTATTAATATCCCCCCGGTTATGTCCATTCATCCACTTGTAAACCTCTATCATGTCACCCCTAACTCTTCGCCTTTCCAGTGAATGCAACTTAAGCTTTGTTAATCTTTCTTCATATGAAAGATTTCTAATTTGGGGAATTAACTTAGTCATCCTACGCTGGACACGTTCAAGTGAATTTATATCCATTCTATAATATGGCGACCAAAACTGAACTGCATAATCTAAATGGGGCCTAACTAGAGCAAGATATAGCTGAAGAACCACACCAGGTGTCTTGTTACTAACGCTGCGATTAATAAATCCAAGTGTCCGATTTGCCTTATTACGAACATTTATGCATTGATCCTTTTGTTTTAAATTCTTACTAATCATAACTCCCAGATCCCTTTCGCAATCCGACTTCGCAATCACAACACCATCTAGCTCGTATCTTGTAACTCTATCATCCTTACCTAACCTCAGAACTTTACATTTATCAGCATTAAACTGCATCTGCCAATCCTTTGACCATTAATTGTCAGCAGTGTCCTTGTCAGCAGTTATACCCCAGCTGGGTGAATATGCTTCAGGGTTCATAGGTTCATAGGCCTATGTAGAAGGGAGTAGGCCTAAGCAGAGTAGCCACGAGCGAGGAGAGTAAGCACAATGCAGGAGAATAGGCCTGAGCAGCTACAAGGGTGGGGGAGTTAGGCCAAGGTAGGCAGGATTCAAGGGAGGTGGGTTTGTTGCAACCACAAGTGCTCATGCCTGTGCAACCACAAGTGCTCATGCCTGTGCAACCACAAGTGCTCATGCCTGTGCAACCACAAGTGCTCATGCCTGTGCAACCACAAGTGCTCATGCCTGTGCAACCACAAGTGCTCATGCTTGTGCAACCACAAGTGCTCATGCCTGTGCAACCACAAGTGCTCATGCCTGTGCAACCACAAGTGCTCATGCCTGTGCAACCACAAGTGCTCATGCCTGTGCAACCACAAGTGCTCATGCCTGTGCAACCACAAGTGCTCATGCCTGTGCAACCACAAGTGCTCATGCCTGTGCAACCACAAGTGCTCATGCCTGTGCAACCACAAGTGCTCATGCCTGTGCAACCACAAGGGCTCATGCCTGTGCAACCACAAGTTCTCATGCCTGTGCAACAACAAGTGCTCATGCCTGTGCAACAACAAGTGCTCATGCCTGTGCAACAACAAGTGCTCATGCCTGTGCAACAACAAGTGCTCATGCCTGTGCAACCACAAGTGCTCATGCCTGTGCAACAACAAGTGCTCATGCCTGTGCAACAACAAGTGCTCATGCCTGTGCAACAACAAGTGCTCATGCCTGTGCAACCACAAGTGCTCATGCCTGTGCAACCACAAGTGCTCATGCCTGTGCAACCACAAGTGCTCATGCCTGTGCAACCACAAGTGCTCATGCCTGTGCAACCACAAGTGCTCATGCCTGTGCAACCACAAGTGCTCATGCCTGTGCAACCACAAGTGCTCATGCCTGTGCAACCACAAGTGCTCATGCCTGTGCAACCACAAGTGCTCATGCCTGTGCAACCACAAGTGCTCATGCCTGTGCAACAACAAGTGCTCATGCCTGTGCAACAACAAGTGCTCATGCCTGTGCAACAACAAACTAGCTGCTGTATATTTGCACTAGAACAAATATTATACCTAAGACCAGAGAAGCTTTCAATTTCCCGGTACATCACTGCAAGGGTAAAATGGCCGGCAGTACAGTACATGGAAATTTGTCGTAACTTTAAAAGTGTGGTCGTATGATTTTAGTAATGATGTGGGTATTTAATTATTGTCATCGTGTAAATGATTAAAGTAGTGTTTGAGTTTAGGAACCATATCTTCTCAGCTTCGGCAGTATAACTATTTATCAGTCAACTAAACATTTAATAATATATATGAGGAATTTACCTTGTTAACTGGTACTGTTCATTTGGCATATAGTAAAAGATCTATATATTTCCAACTCAGATGTGCCTTCGAGGTCCAGATGGGACTTGCGACTGGCTTCGTGGACACCTGTACTGGACATGCATGAAGTCTCTTCGGGGAGTGCAAAATGCTACTGATGTCACCATCAATAACACCCAAGACAACAACATCAGCAGAGACGTCGCCATCACTCCAGGTCGGCATAAACCATCAAGATATGGTTACAAGCGCATTCCGGGCCATGGACGCAGGCCACTACGACCAGGGCGGCCACGTAATGTCTTCACGAGAATTGGTTACGTCCCCAAGAATGGCTGAAGTCTGCACTTCAAGTTTTGCAAGTAGTTTAAGCAAGGTTTTTCATTTGCATTGAGGAAAAACATAGAGCAATATAGATTTTGTTTTGTGCTAGTGTGTTTATAGCTTTAGCAAACATCATAGACACACAAAACTGCTACAAAATACAATAAAAAACAAAGCACAAATATTCAGCTTTACTTTGTTACCACAGATCTAAGATGTGATCAAGTTTGTTCTTCCGAGACATGATGTAGTGAGATCACATCTTACTGAGTCACCTTGTAGACTTGGGATCCTCATAAATATATTAAATTTACTGTTTTAAGTTTCTTGTACATTATGTGCGAGATAGCACGTTTGAAGCGTGGAGGTCCAGAGACACTGTACACAAAATCTGGACCAAGTCTAGAGCAAATTTGAACAAAGTCTGAACAAGTCTGAAGAAAGTCTGGTTCTTTAGAGGGCTGTTAAACTGATGTGCTCTGCAACATGACAAAGCAAGAGAGCAAACATAACTTATGTTGTATCTCTCTCTCTCTCTCTCTGACAATAATGTATCTTATATAGTAATGGTAGATATAATTATATTTTTATGATAATTCAACTGCTGTATTTTGTGGTGATGGTTTATGTTCATATTTGGTTGGAAAGAATCTAGTCTGTTGATAATTTAAGTAGGCTGCATATAAAATGTTAGAATAGAGACAAATTTAGTTAATTGTGTCAATTTAGTCATACTGATGAAATGTTAATGAATGGTGTACATTTATATATAATTGATGATCTTTTGAAGAAGACACACCCGACAAAAAAAAAATTGTTTATTCTTAACAGTATTGAAGAATATCAAGTTATAATGCTCTTGATCTGTGGCTCTTCATGTGGATGTCTGTGGCCATTTTCTGTTGATGGCTATGTACTATATGCTGTTAGAAGCAATTCCTACTTAGGATCAGTAATAATTGTTACCAAGAAAGCAAAGATAACTTTTTATGATCTCGGTGCTTTTGTTATCATGAACAAATAACAGAAAATAACAAATCTTACTGATCATCAACACTCGATAACATTAGTGACAGATGTGAATGAATACCTGGACAGCTCGTAGAAAAAAACGTGTGTTTCGTATGAAGAGCAGATGTGAATTTATTCATTGAAAATGTTACTGTGTATAAAATGTTAAAATTAACTTATAATATATTTTTGTCTGAAGTTAAAGCTGTGCTCATATTCTGCAAGATTTTCCACGAGTGGGAGCTCAAAATTTGTGGTTCTCTACCACTTTTGACACAACAGCCATATTTTCCTTCTCGAAGAATAGATGCCGAGCTACACGAATCCCAATCAAAAAGCGAGAAAATTTTTTAAAGCAATACTCTGCACTTGCATTGGTGCTCCATTTATATCCATAATGTAGAAGATAAAACATTTCACTTGCATTAGGAAAAACTGCTACTGCTTGGGGTGAATACAGTATATGCCAGTTTTGGTCATATAAAGGCAAAAGGCGGCACTGGTTGTATGTTGTCCTCAAGGGAGGAAAATGTTTCCTGCCCATCTCGTGCTGGCTCATGCGCAACATTATGCAAATAAAACATTATAAATGTTTCAATTTTCTTTTCATTTGTTTTTGTGTCTTCGTGTATTAATTTAAACTTTTTGAGTCAAGGTACAATATTGTGAAAGGAGTTGATCTTTTTTGGAGAATTAGTAATATTCTGTATCAACTTGCATAGTGTAAGGCGTTTCCTCTTCTGCGTCGGGTTGGTCCATACTGTAGTTCGTCAAGTCACTTGCGTGCATGTCCTGCTTACAAATGTCAGTACTAAGACAATAAAACTTGGAACTTAATATATTTTTTTGGCAAGCAAAATCAAAACTGCTATAAATCCCTGCAGTGCATTAGATTATACTGAAGCTCTAAGCATCTAACCCAAATGGCAAGAGCAAGTCATTAATCTTTAAAAACAAAAAAATCCTCCATGAGTTACCTGAATTTACATGAGGGCTGCCATCTCTAGTGGCCTCAATGGGGGCAGGATGCCGGCAGCTTGGCATAGATCTCCCCTTCGTTATTTCTGAGTATTTATGTCCGGTTTAATTCCGAACTGGAGTATTGTTTTGGTATTTACAGCTTCGGCAAGTAAGCACTTTCTTGGGTTATTATCCTGTGGGTGAAAGTGTCTCCTGTTGTATGCCCTACATTGTGGCTTGTTGAGCTTGAAGCTATTGCTTCCTATACAGAATTAAATAGTTTAACATATTAGGACATTTTAAAATATTTGTTAATGAAGAACCAAGTTTGATCGTCTTTAGAGTGCTCTGGAAAGGTTACAAGATAAAAACTGGGCTTTCTCAATTAGTTATCATCATATGATACCGGACAAAAATATAAATCACTGTATGAGTGGTACTCGGTGTATCAATGCAGTAGCATCAGCATAGTACTCAGTACATAGTACTCAGTGTAGTTCCATCACTGTTGGAATGGATACTTGACACCACACTGCAAAGCACTAAACGAATAATTATGTTATTATTACTTTTCATCATTATTATTATTACAGTATTATTATTATTATTATTATTATTATTATTATTATTATTATTATTATTATTACACAGAAAAATCACATTAACATGATATATCAGAGAATAAATCCACAGGAGCCTTGATGAAGGTTCGAAACTATGCGTCGAGTGTTCCCAGACGCGCTCGAGTCACCTGTACCACGACATGGTCAATGTTGAGGTACAGTTGACTAGAACGTGTCTCTGGGAACACTCAACGCACAGGTTCGAGCCCCCATCAAGGCTCCTGTGGATTTGTTCATTAATATTGTCATTATTTTTTCATGTGAGGTATAAATTTTAATTTGCCTTATGTTAGGTAGAGATTTTCAGATATCGTGGCAACAATTGAAAGTGGTGCAGAAAAAGAGGCCATTATCTAAAGGCAGTTGATTGAAACATGTACCATACCAGAGAGGTTAGAGATCATTCAGGTCTAATGTGGCAAGCATTTACATTCGAGTTTAATGTTCTACTGTGGAATATTTATGTAAATTTGATTAATTTCTTTCTTCAAATTTTTATATATCTGCAGACAATTGATTATCTGTTTAGGTATGTCACCCATGGGGTTATTAGTGCCTTAATTATTATGAGAACAAATAACTAAAATTATTATTATAAAATACCTCATATTGTAAGGAAAGTCTTAGTAAAATGTATATTTAAACTAACCAAAGGGTGACTTTTTTTCCTTGTAGAAGTTCCAGTGTGCATGTTTTCAAACAAACAACAGGTTGCCATGTAACATTTTTCTTCATTTGCAAAAATTCTTTGCCAAGAGAATCTGCTCCACAGCACTCATTATCACACATTTATTTCTTTGTACAAATGACAAAATGGAGTCAGCTAAACAGCCAGCACTTCAGAGCTTGTAGTTTCTAATGTGCTTTATGTGTGTGTGTGTGTGTGTGTGTATATATATATATATTTATAATGTATATTTATATTATGATTTTGGAATTAATAGCTTATATGCTTAACCTTAACATGTTATAAGTGCTTTAACTGATGTGTGAGAACCAAACAATGTGTGTGTGTGTGTTTGTCTCTTTTATATGTTACAATGAAATGTGATTCAGTAGTCTCTAAGCCTTGCAACACTCAGGCTAAAGAAATTAAATTTTTGTATAATAGTACAGCATTATTAACTGCATACAAAATTTACGATACTGTACAACTACCCTGAAATACACAGGTGATAAGTGAAAATATGTCCTACATATAATGACTTCAAAAAAATATTATGCCCCTTGATTGTGCTTGTTTGGATTACTTTAAATGGTCTCTGTGTTGATATTCAAAGTACGTAATGGACAAACTTTATTAGGTGATTTGTTACACAGTTGTTCTTTTGTGTAAGTCTGACTGTAGTGTGTGAATGTGTGTTTGTAATACTGTAATATGTTTGCATCTCACTGCTGTGTGTATGAATGTATATATAATTACCAAAATGTAATTACTCAAGTGTAGTTTAGAGGGTGAGAGCTATGCTCGTGGTGTCCTAGTCTTCCCAGTACTCTTTTTTCATGTTGCTTTGAAACTGCTGACGGTTTTGGCCTCCACCACTTTCTTTACTTACCTTGTTCTAACCTTCTACCACTCTGAATTGAATTGAATTTACTCTGCAAAAGTGAACTTTCTAATGTTTTTGGCAGTTTGTTTTTTAGGCTGCTATTTTCAACAATTCTTCTTCTTTGTCAATTTTGTCGATTCCTGCTTCTATTTTGTACATAGTGATCATATCACCACTTCTTCTATTGTTTGTGTGTGTGTTTACTATTTGTGCTTACAGAATCGAGCTATTAGCTCTTGGACCCCGCCTTTCTAACCAGTCTATTTTTCCTCTATAATGTCAACTACATATATTTCTCTCTTAACACATGTATACACATATCCCCAGGAAGCAGTCAGTAGCAGCTGTCTAACTGCTAGGTGAACAGCACTTCACCAGAGTGAAAGACAGTCTGCCCATTTGTTTCTGCATCGAATGGGAATCGAACCTGGGCCCTTAAGATTATGACCCCCAAGCGCTGTCCACTCAGTAACGAAGCCTCAGTTTACTTTTACCCGAGAGTCACTAACACTAATGGCCTCGATGAGGACAGGAAGCCGGCAGCTTGTTGAAGCCTCCCCCCCCCCATTTGCCTTGATGATCTTTTCCAGCTGTACTTTAAATGTTAACAGAGTTAACAATGGGTGTGTGTGTGTGTGTGTGTGTGTGTGTGTGTGTGTGTGTGTGTGTGTGTGTGTGTGTGTGTGTGTGTATCTTTATCTTTCTCACCATATTATTTGTCTCATTATAGTACTAGTATGTACTGTATGTATGTCACATGGAAGTGTATATAGCCCACAGTAGTGTGTGTCTGTCATACCATATACTACAGTATGCACAGCAGGAATTAGAAATGGAGTAATTAATGAGTGAGAATAGCTGTTGGCAGCAGTATGACGTTGTCTAAAGTACGGTACTTGATAATATTTTTATACGAGTGGCTGTGTTGCAATTTGTGCATTGCAAACACAAATCTCGTAACTGAAAATATGTAGTAAACATTGAGGATATGTAATGTATAGAGTTAACTTTGTAATAGCATCTCTGAAGCAGTGATGTATAGAGCTAACTTTATCAGAGCATCTGCGATGCGGTGATGTACGGTGCTCACTTTTAAAATACTTTAAATTATTTCAATTTATCTTACAGCTTATATTTCATATAAATATATATGATTTAAAGTTTGGAATTGCTTTCATCTTGGAGACTATTGTATTAAATTTCATATCATATTATAAATTAATCAACCTGGTGTGAATATTTACAAAGTGTTCAAATCATTTTAGATTTCCATCTAAAATTCTATATAACCTTCAGTGAAAAATTGTATACCGGTGATTCCTTGTTTGTAATCCTATCTAATCATTGAAATCCTTTAACTGAATGTGATTACTGAAAGTATTTCATTTAGTACTGTAAATTGTCTTAAAAATAATTGGTATAATCAATTGTAGATTATATGGGAAATATTAGTAGTAAGTCTGTGATTCAGCTTACCCTGGAAGTCTTCAGGTTTTCTTAGCATTGTCTTATGATGTTAGGCCTGCAAGATGCATTTATTGTTTACCAGGTACCTGCACCATGCATCAATTTTAGAATCACAAGAATTTTTTTTTAATGTTTAATCAAACTGATAAACTAGTTTTGAATATGTAATGCTGAAATAAACATGAGTTACCTATAATTGAACTTTGATTCCATGTCATCCAAGTTAAATCTTGAAAGCAAATATGGCCCAGAGTGTTTGTTGGGGCAGAGTATTAATTGGGGCAAAGCAAGCAGAGGTGCAGCATAATCCACTAAAGATCTGATGTGTGCAAGGTACATCATTTTTACAATTTTGAAATTAGCATCCAAGCCTGCGTGATAACTTAAAACAAAATTCAAATTCAAATGTTAATTCAGGTAAAGTACATACATACAAGAGGTTATACAAAAATTGATAGATTTATAGATACAGGTTTTAACAGTCTCCGTGGTGTAGTGGTAAGACACTCGCCTGGCGTTCCGCGAGCGCTATGTCATGGGTTCGTATCCTGGCCGGGGAGGATTTACTGGGCTCAATTCCTTAACTAGCCTCTGTTTAACGCAACAGTAAAATGTGTACTTGGATGAAAAAACGATTCTTTGCGGCAGGGGATCGTATTCCAGGGACCTGCCCGAAACGCTACGCGTACTAGTGGCTGTACAAGAATGTAACAACTCTTGTATGTATACCCCCCCCCCCAAAAAAAAAAAAAAATGGAGCTAGTACCTACAATGCCTAAAGCCACTATTACGCAAAGCGTTTTGGTGAGGAAAAACATTAAAGACTAAAACTTAATACTAATTGAGATTAAAGTATAAAATGTGTTGAGAAAAAATAAAAATAAAAAAGGGGGGAAACATGGCAGAAAAAACAGCACAAATACAATCAGGTCGATAAACAGCCTTGAGAGCTCTTTATACTAACGACAGAGCCTGAATACAACAGGACCATACTGTGGCACTTCAAGGTCAAGGTATTTGAATCTGTTTACATAGTCAAGCTGGGAGCCAAGGTTGTTACATCTTGCAAACAGCTTCTCCCTGTCTAGGTGGGCATCGATTTATTATGTTTTCTCTGCCGAGATGACTAAACCTAGGTCCTGACACGAGTCTTAATACAGAGGTAAGAAAGAGGAATTATATGCCATATTAGCATTGTAGTCATTAAGAATGATGGTGGGCTCTGCTTGAGCACAGGGTGGAAGATCAATATAATTTTAACTTTCCTACTGGAGCATATAGATTCAATAATTTTTTTTGCTTATATACAAGTTTTTACATTCTTGTAAAGCCACTAGCACATACACATTCGGGACATGCACATACAGCACATTTGGGACATGCACATACATGTGCGCACAGCACATTCGGGCAGGTTCTTAATCTTAATTTTCCCTGGAATACGACCCGCCAAATCGTTTAACAACCAGGTACCCATTCACTGCCGAGTGAACAGAGGCTACAGTTAAAGATTGGTGCCCAGTCAATCCTCCCCGGCCAAGATACGAACCCAGGCCAAAGCGCCCAGCGAGTGTTTTACCACTGCGCCACGGAGACTGTGTAAGATCATACTTAGTAGCAGGATCTGTGAGTTTAGTGAAGACACTATTCACAGATGGTGTACCAGCTATTGATACTGTTAATGGCTCCAAAGGGCCTCCACTTACGGGCTATTCATGCCCGTGCCACCTTTTGGGTGGCTTAATCTTTATTAATCATTCATCTGGTGTTACTGCTTGTGTGTTTATCTATACTGACAGCTGATTGAATTTCAACGTTAATGTATATCTTTGAATCAGTTCACGAGGGAGTTAGGCAACTGTTATGTTGTTACATCCTACAAAAACAGAAAAACAGGAGACGTTTTTTCACCCATTCGGTAATAAACCCGTGGAACCGCCTACCCGCCGATACCGTAAATGCCAAAACCCTGCTGGGATTTTAAAATACAGCTGGAAAAGTCCATCAGGGCAAATGGGGGGGGCATTTGACAAGCCGCCGGCTTCCTGTCCTCACCGAAGCCACTAGTACCTCAGGTAAATTTAGGTAAAATCTTCCCCACCCGGACTATCATAGAAAACGTGACCGCAGCCACCAAGAACAGTAAGGATCAGCTGACGCCATAAACACACCGTCAGCCTTCACCCAGGGGAGACCCGCCACCATATCTTCGTGTAAACTGTACGTGTTACCAAGAACAAGAAGAGCTTTGACAAGCCGCTGGCTACCCGTTCCAGTCGTGGTCACTAGATGCTGGGCCTCGGGTAAATTAAACTCATCTATCCATATCTTGTGCTTGGGGTTCTACTACCCAAAATCATTTACGTCCTCTAATTACCCAACACAAAGCTGCTATTAGGACAATATCCAACTCTGGTCCCAGACATCACTCGGTACCCCTACTCAAATCTCTGAATATGTTAGATATTAAGTCACTGCACATTCTCTCATGTGTATTATGCATATATAAAACGCTGAACTGTAATGCCAATCCTGACCTCAAAAGCTTCATTGAAGGTTGTAACAGAACCCATGAGCACCACACCAGAAACAAATACAGTTTTGATATTCCTAGAGTACGACTTAATCAAACTAGAAATGCTCTACAAATCAAGGGACCCAGAATGTGGAATGACCTTCCCAATCATGTTAAAGACTGTACCTCTCTCAACCAGTTTAATCGCGCTTTCGATTAGAGATAACTCGTCACTGGTTTTTCTTACGATTCCGCATAACTGCCTACTTTTCTCGTCAATCGAAAAAATATTTCTATAAATTCCATTTTTTAACCGAAATGGATGGGGATACTTTTGTTTTGTAGAGAATTTATTTGCAAATTTTTTGGTACCAGAATGAATATTATATCACATAAACTTCTATGAGTAAAAAAAAAAAATACACAAAGTATGTTTGGGGGTGTGGCGAGCGTGTGGCAGTGGGTTCCCTTTAGCCGTTGATATATCCAACACGTGGGAAATATTTGTATGTGTTATGTATATGTCTGTGTAGGGAATTTTACTGCGATCACTGTCATACAAATTATAAAATGTTTCAACAAGTATAAACATGACAAACATCAAACGAACGAAAACAATGCGTTCGTTTCTGCCGCGAACGCATACTGAGCGACGTGGTTCTATATTTGGCGCTTTTCTTACACATGCTTTGTACAAATGTTATACAGTTCATCTTATAGAAAATTTTATTGCGAACACATTGGTATAAAAAAGAAATACGTACATAGAAAAGTAGGGTCAGGAAACGTATAAACTTTCCAAGCATGATTTCCCACCTGTGTTTTCGCCAGTGCGCTCGCGGCTAACTACTCTCCACTTCACACACTCTTGCAAGTGGGCAATTACCTATATTAAACATTCATATGCATATGTCCGTGTAGAGAATTTTATTGCGATTCCAATGATACCAAAGTTAGCGATGTAGGACAACTGTAGGCTTCGCAACCATTAAGAGAGTGGAAACATTTTGTTGCTGTTTGGCGCTCTCGGCGAGTGATCTGCATAGTTTTTTATTTGGTGTTGATACTACTTATGCTTGGGCGGCATTTTATAGGTATGCTCTTATAGACAATTTCATTGCAAACACAGTGATACCAAATTTAAATACATGCGCCTTCAATTATTGTCAGGACAGTCAAAAGAGTGTACACTTTTTTGGTCTTACCGCGTAGGCGCGCGAAGTGCCGAAAGCATCTGGGGTATTGTTTTTTTTTGAGCGCCGAGAGCGCGAAAGTGTTAAGATTAAAACTAAGCACTACCTAATAAATTCCCTGTAACCTACCTTACCCCTCTATTGTCAACCCATGTCTGCTATTTTTAAACAATGCTGTTTGTCGACCTAATTGTATTTTTGCTGTTTTTCTGCCATGTTTCCCCTGTTTTTATTTTTATTTTTATTTGTTCTCAACACATTTTATAGTTTAATCTCAATTAGTATTAAGTTTTACCCTTTAATGTTTTTCCTGCCCGAAACGCTCTGTGTAATAGTGGCTTTAGGCATTGTATGTACTAGCTTTATCTATAAATATATCAATTTTTGTATCACCTCTTGTATGTATGTACTTTACCTGAATAAACATTTATTTATTATTTATTATTTATAAGGTAAAATTGAAGCATTTCCAAATTCTTAAACACTGATAGAGTCCTGTGGCACGTCACCCTACCTTACCATTTGTGTAATTTCACACAAAACTACATTTCACGAAGAAGAATGTTTTCATTCAAATTTTATCAAAATTTACCAAAGGGCCACTATCTCCTTAGTGGCCTCGACGGGGACAAGAAGCCGGCGACTTGTCAATGTTTCACTCATTGTTTCTTATGATTTCTCTATCTGGATTTAAACTAAATTAATCACTTAGCATTTACAGCTGTGGCAGATAGTCAGTTCCATGGGTTTAATTCCTGTTATCGGGGGACAGCAAGCCTGTGTACATATACACTTTAGGTTGTATTGACATCCCCCCCCACCCACCCAGGTCGAACTGCTGACCCTTCCCAAGATGTAACCCCCACAACAGATGAACAGCAGCATTAGTTGATAGGAAATGTGTCTAGCCATTTCTGTCACACTCGGGATTCAAACATAGGATTCCTGATTGTGACTTGTTTAGCTTGAAGCTCTTGCCCTTTGTGTGCATTACATTTGACTTCTTGAAGAAGTGGATTAATATCCTTCATGAAAAAATTAGTAGGAGCCGTGAGGATGATTCGAACCTATGCTCTGGGTACTCCCAAGCAAACACCTTAGACCACTATACCACGACAGCCAAAAGAATAGCAACCTGGAATTCTTTTGATCATGTCGTGGTGTAGTCATCTAAGGCGTTTGCTTGGGAGTAACCAGAGCATAGGATCAAATCCTCTTCACGGCTCTCATTGAATTTGTCATGGTTATACCACGTTAAAGTGATTTCTTTATGCAATATCCTTCATATTAATAATAATAATAATGTTACGTATTACAATACCATAGTGCTTGAATAATGGTACATTGATTGTTGTAAGAAAAAAGCTAAGAATTTTTTGTTGACAATGGTAGCAAAACAATAAATGGAACAAATAAAGTAGATAGTAAAGTTGCCTTATACTGATCCCCTACCCTGGCTGGTGACTGACCCCCTACCCTGGCTGGTGACTGATCCCCTACCCTGGCTGGTGACTGACCCCCTACCCTGGCTGGTGACTGATCCCCTACCCTGGGTGGTGACTGACCCCCTACCCTGGCTGGTGACTGATCCCCTACCCTGGCTGGTGACTGACCCCCTACCCTGGCTGGTGACTGACCCCCTACCCTGGCTGGTGACTGACCCCCTACCCTGGCTGGTGACTGACCCCCTACCCTGGCTGGTGACTGACCCCCCCCTACCCTGGCTGGTGACTGACCCCCTACCCTGGCTGGTGACTGACCCCCTACCCTGGCTGGTGACTGACCCCCCCCTACCCTGGCTGGTGACTGACCCCCTACCCTGGCTGGTGACTGACCCCCTACCCTGGCTGGTGACTGACCCCCTACCCTCGCTGGTGACTCACCCCCTACCCTGGCTGGTGACTGATCCCCTACCCTGGCTGGTGACTAACCCCCCCTACCCTGGCTGGTGACTGATCCCCTACCCTGGCTGGTGACTGATCCCCTACCCTGGCTGGTGACTGACCCCCCCCTACCCTGGCTGGTGACTGACCCCCCCTACCCTGGCTGGTGACTGACCCCCCCTACCCTGGCTGGTGACTGACCCCCCCTACCCTGGCTGGTGACTGACCCCCCCTACCCTGGCTGGTGACTGACCCCCTACCCTGGCTGGTGACTGACCCCCCCTACCCTGGCTGGTGACTGACCTCCTACCTTGGCTGGTGACTGACCCCCCCTACCCTGGCTGGTGACTGACCCCCTACCCTGGCTGGTGACTGACCCAGTACATGTGATAAATGGAGAAAGGAAGATTGGATATGACAAGTAATAACACTTAACCTGTGAAGCACAAATAGGCAGTCTCACAATATAGTACTTGATATCGACTTCTGTGCCGCAAACAGTCTTTCGCCATACTTGGTATCCACCAAGTATGGCAGTCTCATTATGCCTGATATCTACCACCTTGTTGCAAATACAGTACTGTACTTATAAGATGTAGGAATAGGGAACATTGATGCAAAGGATTATCGCTGTATGAATGACCCAAATCATAATAATCATTTAGACAAGGACTGTGCTTACAGTAGTTATTTAATGATCAGATATTACTTGTGAGTTGATAATATATTACAGTTCTGTTATTAACTCTAGAAACTACCTGAGAAGATGGTTTTATCAGAAAACTAGTTTACAGTGGTGCCTGACAGCTGAGTGGACAGTGCTTCGGATTCGTAGTCCTGATGTTCCGGGTTCGATCCCCGGTGGAGGCGGAGACAAATGGGGATAAAGTTTCTTTCACCCTGATGTCTCTCTTACCTACCAGTAAATAGGTACCTAGGAGTTAGACAGCTGCTACGGCTGCTTCCTAGGGGTGTGTAACAAAGAGGAGGCCTGGTCTAGGACCAGGCCGCGGGGACGCTAAGCCCCGAAATCATTACAAGATAACCTCTCTCTGTGTTCATTTCTTTCAGGTTTGGGATATTGGCCGAGATGTGCGACTAATAGAAGAGTCCATTTAATATCACCTTTTCCTGGTCCCTATGGACCAGCAATTGGAGTATTATGTGCATATGAAGTGACCATGCAGAGGGACTTAACAGAAATTTAGTTGGCCATGAAGTAGTTGTAAATTATTCTGCTAGTATTCAAAAGGTGAGGCAATGCAGTATTTTCCCTTAATAAAAATGAAAATACAAATATCTAATCAATGTAATATTATTATAAAAATGACAATGAATGTATGTAGATTTATGCTTGAAAATAAAATGTTTTATTTTTGGCAAGAAAACATTTGTGCTTAAATATCAAGTCGGTGAGAAATGTCAGTGACCGAGCCTTGGATAGGAAGTAAATTTTTGAGAGGTAGTGAATGATAGATATTTTGTGATGTCATATAGAGATCCTTAATACCTTTTTAGTAAAATGATCAAGATATACCTGTATGCTGTGAATATGTTTCTTTTGTGGTGGTAAAGCTGTCTGTCAGCAAGAGTTGTCACAAAAAATAAGGTACTGTACTAAATTTGCCAAAATTAACGTAACTGAGTGCCCATGAATAGAAAATGGGACAGCCAGTCAATTTTGTGAGCTATGATTTATAGTACATCATATTTTGACATTGGGGACTTTGTCAAAATACGATGTGTTATACAAGAGGACAGGTTAGGTAAAGTTGGCAAGATAAATATTTCCTAATTATTACCAATGTTCTGTTATTTATCTAGAAGGTAAGAGCCAGCATGTCTAACTTTTTAAAAATAGATGTTGGAAAAGATTTTTGTTCACTCTTAGGAAGTCTTTTTTTTTTTCAATTGGCTCTGCAACATTACTTGAGTCAGGCAAATAGCTGTCTCCATGTATACACATAATCAACCTGTCTTCTCCCTAAATATATCACATTTGTTATGGAGTTGACCAATTCATTAAAAATGTGATTAGTAAACATTACAGCACCATAATATTGACATTTCCCATCACAGCCTTAATAGGTTAAGTGGGGTTGCTTGGTTTCATATATCTCTGATCAGGCAAGAGAGTTGCATTTTCATAGAGTATCAAATTGAGTGAATGGGCTAGCATAGTATACATGCATACTATCCTATCAACTTATGGAACACTTCTGATCAGGAAAGGGAATGCTCTTAGTCTATAGCATTTATGGATCACACATCAGAAAATGAATAAACGGCAACATTTCGGTCTGTGCTGGACCATTATTATTGTCCAAGTTGATAATGGTCGAGGAAGGACTGAAACATCATCGTTTCTTCATTTTTTCTGATGTGATGGTTGATTGATGAAGACTAAGCCACCCAAGAGATGGCATGGGCATGAATAGCCCGTAAATCTGATGTGGGGTTTGGTCATCATATCTTCGGCCACATTATTGTGTCTCATCGTCTGTATTTAAGGGTCCTGTAGTACAGTGGTCACTGACATGCAGTCAAAAATCCTGGGTGAGATTCCCAGGCCTGATAGAAATGATTGGGTATTTTTCTTTTCATCTTATGCCTCTGTTCACCTAGCAGTAAATAGGTATGTGGGAGTTGAGCAACTGTTGTGGTTTGCATCCTGGAGAAGGTCGGTAGTTGGCCTAGGGAGGACTTCAATAAGTCTGCGAACAGGCTTCTCAAACACGCAGGGTATTGTGTCAATTTCTCATACATACCATATACAGTACATGCATAATATCTTGTCAGATATACATAAATATCTTGTCAGATATATTGTATATAGTATATCTTGTTAGATATACATATATATCTTGTCAGATATACATATATATCTTGTCAAATATACATGAATCAATTTTGCTCAAGAAGGGGAGTTTATCTATAGCAGTTGTTCCCAACTGGTTAACCATATTTGGAACTTGTATTTTAAGTACGGTATATCTCACTTGTCGAGAATTAGTGGTAAGTTATGAGTATCCCATTTAGGAAATATTTAAATCAGTGTTTTAAATTAAAAAAGTGTGGCAGGGGTCGCAGGTCTTTTGAGTTATTAGAAAATAGTGTTTTTTGTCAAATGTTTGGGAATTACAGCTCTGTAGTATTCAAAAAGCATGCCAACAGTCATACTTTTCATAAATTTTACATTTATTAAACAAATCTCCCACAGAAACATGGGTTGTTAGATCAGACACTTCTGAAGAAGAGCATCAGGAACTACACTTACGGGCTATTCATGCCTGTGCCATCTCTTGGGTGGCTTAATCTTCATCAATCAATCCAGAACTACAGTGAATTTCCACGAGTGAGACATTATACACTCCTACCTGGGAAGTCTCTGAGCCCAGGTAAGCACTGAAGAGCTGTTAACCCTTGGGCTGTGCTCCTGTTTATACCATGCAACACCCAGGTGTGCATAAAATAAAAAGAATTCTAAAATTTGTTTGTCTTAATAATACAGGCCATTCACTTTAGGAACATTCACTTTATGAACAGTCATCTAAATGAACATTCTCTGAGGGTCCCCAGTACCCCCTTCATGTATTAAATCATTGTATAGACTTGCAGGAGTGTTCCTTTGAATTTTGCAGCAGCGCACTGAAACATCAGAGCGGCAGCTACGTGGTAGAGTATTGTATAAAAGCATCTGCTGAGCTCACTAGGGAGACAGGCCAAGTGAATCTATTTGCTACTTGTACCTGGTGGGTACAAATACTGTAGTGGGTGTGTAACCTGTGTAGTTACAGGATGAGAGCTATGCTGGTGGTGTTTCGTCTTCCCAGCATTCTTTGTCATACTGTATAACATGAAACTACTAACTTTTTGGCTGCCTCCACTTTCTCACTGAACTTGTTCCAACCGTCTACCACTCTGCTTGCGAAAGGAAACTTTGTAATATTTTTTCAGGCACCTTTGTTTACTTACCTAGAATATATGAGTTGTTCATGAGGTTGCTAGTTACAGGAATTCCTGTTTGTCAATTTGGTTGATTCTTGCTATTATTTTGTAAGTGGTGATCATATCGCCTCATTTTCTTCTATCTTCTTGTCATGTAATTTCCCAGCATAGCAGAGGAAACTGCCTCTTCCTACTAACTTTCATGTACATTACTCTGCATATTGTAACACGGGTTAGGGTCCTTCTCTCTTTACTTCCTTCTTTCTACTCCCTCTACCCGTATTCTTACTTTTATTTCTAAACCAAGGGACTCCAAAACTTTTACCAAAGCCAACTCCACGCCACGTGGTCCTAAGACGATTGACCGACTTAGGATTCTACACCCAGTATGACGTGACCTAAGCTCTGAACAAAACCCTAGAGTCACCTCTGCTGCCACCACCAGACCAGTAATACAAGAGCAATGATCGAGGTCTGGATCGATCACGCTAATTAATCAACCTAGGGGCTTGATCCCCACTATAAACGATGACCTTGAGTGTGGAATAAATTACACGGTAATGATAATTCCGATTCGATGTTAGAATCGGCGCCCAATGCAACTCTGCCTCGTGTGGACCACGTGACCAGGACAAGTATACACATAAAACACATGGAAACAATAAAATGCAAATTAATAACAAATTTAATTTATTAAAAGAAAACTAAAACAAAATCTAAATATGTTCACTCCCTATCACTTTAACACTCCCTACTTGACCTGAGTGGCAAATGAGACTATTTCTATACTTAACAATAGCAACTATACCCTGGGCGACCACAGCTCTAGGTGTTGGGGCTGTTCTTGGGGAGAGGTAAGATGTTGACCTCTTATCCCAGCTGCTTCCGTGACCACACTGATCTCTCTCTTGTCTGGACTACCCCAGACAGAACATTGTATCCTTCCGCATCGCTTACCCAGTTACTTTAGCAAGGTTAAGTTATAACAATTAAACTCTGTTGTACTTAATTGATCCAGACTGGTTGAATTATTTTACTGAATTAAATTACAAACATCTAACGGCAGAGCTGTTCCCGATCACAAAAATGGTTATTAAAACTTTGAGAAATAGTAGACCTGTCAACCCCTGATGACCTATGACCGCCGGTCACTCCGCCTCAAAAGTTAGATCTGATTCGTGACGTCACTGATGGTGACTTAAACTCAATAATTAGAATACTCTTGATATTGTATCCAGTACTATTATACAATACAATTTTAATGCAAAATGAATAAAGGCTAATTTTCTCTAAATTACTGAATACTATAGGATGATTCATTTTACGCAGCTATGAACAAAGCGTTGGTTATTTCCACCGCGAATTCCCCTGGGGGTCAGGTCACCATGCGGCTCAGCTTCCCATTCTCTTTTGTCGATAAACCACTCTGGATAATTCTTACAACAGCCTAGTTTGTTACAATATCACCTATACGCCAGCCAACCCAGACTTTCCACCCAGACGTTTGTCTGGGAAACGCCCACTGTCACCCTCCACCCAGCCCCAGTGCCCCACGCAGGTGTTTTCTGCCGGCTCTGGTTATCCATGGGTAACTAGCCGTTACGCTTCGGGCCTCCAATTGCAAGCCTCATTGACAAAGGATGTGACATCACCAGCAGAGGTATAAGTACAGTACTGTACTTCTGACCTCGCTTTATCACTGTAATTCTCTCCAAGTGTTCTTCAGATTTGGCATATTTAAAGCCCCTCTCCTCATTACTCTTGTTTATCATTTCTGGAAGCCATTTTGTAGCATGCCTTTGCTACAAAAGTGTTTTGTTGGGCATTTCTTTATTTTTTTTTTGGGGGGGGGGGATGCATTTGTGATTTATTTTTGTTGGGTGTTTTGGATTTTTCTTTGTCGAGCGCTTGCCACTTTGTTAGAGTTTTTTGTTGGTGTTTTCCACTTTTTTTTGTTGGCCGTTTGCCATTTTTCTGTTGGGTGTTTGCCACTTTTCTGTTGGGTGTTTTGACTTCTTTTTGGGCTTTTGGCATTTTTTGGTTGGGTATTTGTCCCTTTTCTGTTGGGTGTTTGGCCTTTTTTGGGCTTTTAGCATTTTTTTGTTGGGTATTTGCCTCTTTTCTGTTGGGTATTTGCCACTTTTTTTTTGGGTGTGAAGCATTTTTTTATTGGGACCTTTTTGTTGGTTGTCACTTTTTTGTTGGGCATTTTGCAAACTTTGTGTGGGTTTTAGGTACTTTTTTTTTGGCTTTTACCACTTTTCTGTTTTTGGGTGTTTGGCCACTTTTTTGAGTATTTGGCACTTTCTTGTTGGGCATTTGCCACTTTTCTGTTGGGTGTTTGCCACTTTTTTGTTGGCCGTTCCTTAACATTTATTCGCATTGAATTCCATTTGCCACATGATGCTCCAAGCACTTACTTTATCTAGATCAATTTGAAGGGCATGACAGTCGTCTACATCTTCTATCTTCCCCAGTATCTTAGCATCATGTTCATATAGTTCTGTGTTCCTTCTGGTAGATCGTTAATGTAGAAGATTAACATTACCGGTGCAAGAACTGAACCGTGTGGTACTCCGCTTGTAATATTCCTGCGTCAGATACATTGTCTCTGATTACTGCCCTCATCTGCCTATTGGTTAAAAAAAATTTCATCCATGTCAGAAGTCTCCCTGTCACCAACCCAGCATGTTCCAGTTTCCTGAACAGCCTCTTGTGTGGGACTCTGTCAAAAGTCTGTTTTAAGTCCAGATAGACACAGTCAACCCAACCATCTCTTTCCTATAGAATCAAGTCGGCTCTATCATATAAACTAAGTAGATTTGTTACACTGGATCTTCCTGTTCGAAAACCATATTGTCTGTTTGTCTGTTTATATGTCATTACTCTCCAGGTGTACTAGTACCCATTTGATTTGAACTATTTTGTCTAGTGTTTTGACTACCATGTTTGTTAATGATATGGGTCTTTAATTTAAATGTTTGTTGTTTTATTTATATATATACAAGAGTTCTTACATTCTTGATAAGCAATAGCATGCATCGTGTTTCAGGCAGTTTCTTCATCCTAAGTTTTCCCACGGAATATGACCCGCCAAATCGTTTAACAACCAGGTTCCCATTCACTGCTGGGTGAACAGAGGTTATAGGAAAGGATTGGCACCCAGTCAATCCTCCCCGGCCAGGATACAAACCCAGGCCGATGCGCTCATGAAGTGCTGGGTGAGTGCTTTACCACTGCACCACAGGGACTGCTCTTCTTCTTGTGGTAAAAAATGGTAGCCACAGTTTTTCTCGGGTACCATTTTTATAGATTGGAACAATGTTTGCCTTTTTCCATGTACTGTATCTGCTAAGATTCCTGTGCATAAAGGTGTCTTTAACCCTTGCACTGCTCACCTATTTTCGGCAAAAACGTCTTGGTGCAATTGACAAGGACATATTTTTGTTATTTTTACAAATGTTCAGGTAAATTTAATGTCAAAATGTTTCCAAAGTCAACTATTTCCATTTCAAAACACAAATAGTAATGAAAACATTAAAAAACATTAAAATATAGCCAAATTAAAAAACAAAAAGCACAACTCTCTGAGTGCCTAAAGGTGCTTTGCGCAGTGCAGTGGTTAATATTAAATGGAGTGTTAACTAAACCTCAAGTCTCAAGTCAAGTCATTCTCAAGTTGATTGTGTTTCACAGTCGACCTGAGAATGGTCCAGGATGGACTGAAACGTCGTCATCCCTTCACTTTCTAGTGTGTGGTTTGGGCAACATAGTTCGGCCACGTTATTGTGACTCCTTGTCTGTAAATGGAGTGGAATACTCAGCTCAATTGCACATTCTCGCAGCACCCAAGGTGAAACTCCAATTAGTCCAACTGATTTATTTGTTCCTAGCCCCTTGAGTAAGGTTCTTCACATGTATTTCAGCATATATGGATGTCTAAAGATGAATATTGTATAGCATTCATACATAAACTCTCTGATGCTTTCACACAAAAAGGAAAGATGGAGAAGCTGAAACTGAACCTTGTAGAGGCAAAATGTCTAAATGAGAGCAGGAAGAAAGAAGAAATCCAATGTTTTTCTACACGGTGATAGGGGGTAGGCAAGCCAGTAAAATGGTACAAAAAGGCAAACGAACAAAATCATTAGAGAAAGGGGAAGTGAAGAACAAGGAGAGAGTGAACATGTTCCTGAAAATTTTATACACCAACATAGATGGAGGGATACAGGTGTAGGTGCCAGACATTGTTGCACGCACAGAGACAAAATTGAAGATGATATTTTAAATGAGGTTATATTCCCAAGGGGCTCCTAAGTTTGGAGACGGGACAGAAAAATCAGGAAAGGCAGTGGCGTGGCTGTGCTGGTGAAAGAACACCTAACGGTAAACAAAATACTGTATTAATTGTTAATTCACGAGAAGTTAACATAATAGCACTAGAGATCTGCAATCAAGATGATAAACTAATAATCATAAATGCTTATAGTCCACCACCATGCAACACATGAACAAAGGGGAGCTGAACAATAAATGATAAGGTCTTATAACAATAATGAAGAGATTATGGCGAGATAAAGATAGGTCACGACTGTTGGTAGTCGGCAACTTAAACTTGAAATCCATAGACTGGGAGGTACATGAAGCTAGAACAGAGGACTTTTGGACCTGTAGATTTGTAAACATCATCCTGGAAACATTTATGTATCAACACGTTAAACAAGCTACAAGGATGAGGGAAGGGAATGTTGCCTCCATGCTGGATTTGATACAGTATTCACCAGGAAAGAGGAAGAGATATTTAACATTCAGTACCTCCCTCCCTTGGGTAAAAGTGACCATGTCTTTTTGGGATTAAAGTATGCAATGTGTTATAATCAGGAAGAAAATGAGGAGGTTCAAGCAGTTGAAAAACCTGATTTAAGGAGAGGACATTATGGGGGAACTTAGAAATTTCTTCAAGGGATTTGACTGGAAAGACTTGCAGTTAGACAAGGAAGTAAACAAGATGTATGTCAAGTTTTGTGAAATATATGATAAAGGCACACAAGATTTTTATACCTAAGCAGAGATGCAGAACTAGGAACAGGATTGGTTCCACAGAAATTGCTAGAGGGCCAGAGACCAAAAGACACAAAAATGGAATCAATGTAAGAAGAGGTCAAACCCCCAAACATACCAGTGATACAAAGAAGCAAGAAATAACTACACGGCAGTGAGGAGAGAGGCAGAAAGAAATGTGGGGAAAGGGATAGTGGACAAATGTAAAACAGAACCAGGCCTATTTTATAAAATCAACAACAACAAATTGCAGGTAAAGGATAATATTCAGAGGTTGAAAATGGGAAACAAAATCTCGAAAAATAGAAATAGAATGTGTTTACTAGTTGTGTTTACTAGTTGTGTTTTGCGGGGGTTGAGCTTTGCTCTTTCGGCCCGCCTCTCAACTGTCAATCAACTGTTTACTAACTACTTTTTTTTTTTTTTTTTTTCCCACACCACACACACACACACCCCAGGAAACAGCCCGTTACAGCTGAATAACTCCCAGGTACCTATTTACTGCTAGGTAACAGGGGCACTTAGGGTGAAAGAAACTTTGCCCATTTGTTTCTGCCTCGTGCGGGAATCGAACCCGCGCCACAGAATTACGAGTCCTGCGCGCTATCCACCAGGCTACGAGGCCCCCAATGTGGGAAACATTAAACGAAAAGTTCCAAAGTGTGTTTGTTCAAAATGAAGTCTTCAGAGAACTAGGCACGATAAGAATTCCAGAGAACAACATAGAACACATAGAAGTGTCTAGAGATGAAGCGAAAAAATGCTCAAGGAGCTAAGTAAGAACAAAGCAGTTGGGCCAGATGGAGTTTCACCATGGGTTCTGAGAGAATGTGCACGTGAGCTTGGCATTCCACTTCAACTGATTTTTCAGGTATCCCTGTGTACTGGAGTCGTTGCAAATGTGTGGAAAAAGGCTAACATACTGTAGTTCCAATCTACAAAAGTGGCAGTGGGGAAGACCCCTCTCAATTATAGACCTGTATCATTGACAAGTGTAATAGTCAAAATATTTGAGAAAATAATTAAAACTAAATGGGTAGAACGCATGGAGGAAAACTATTTAACAGACAAATGGTATGGTTTTCAATCTGGAGGACCCTGTGTAACGAATTTACTCGGTTTCTATGATCGAACGATCGATCGACAGAGATTTTACAAGAAAGAGATGTTTGGGTTGACTGCATCTATCTGGATCTAAAAAAGGCTTTTGACAGAGTTCCACATAAGAGGTTGTTCTGGAAACTGGACCATATTGGAGGAGTGAGAGGTAGGCTTCTAACATGGATGATAAATTTTCTGACTGACAGAAAAATGAGAGCAGAAATTAGAGGCAAAGTATTGGACTGGAGAAATGTTAAGAGTGGAGTACCATAGGGTTCAGTTCTTGCACCAGTAATGTTCATTGTCTACATAAATGATTTACCAGATGGAATATAGAATGACATGAACATGTGTGCTGATGATGGCAAGATAATAGGGAAGATAAGAAACTTATGTGATTGTAATGCCCTTCAAGAAGACCTGGACAAAATAAGTATTTGGAGCACCATTTGGCAAATGGAATTGAATGTGAATAAATGGCGTGTTATGGAATGCGCGGTCTAAGGGTTAAAGACTTCTGATAAAGAAAAAGATCTAGGGATGGTTCTAAATAGAAAACTATCACCTGCGGACCCCATAAAGAACATTATGCGAGGAGCTTATGCTGCACTTTCTAAGTTTCAGAATTGCTTTTAAATACATGGATGGAGAAATAATAAAGAAAATATTCACGACTTTTGTTAGACCAAAGCTGGAATATGAAGCGGTTGTATGGTGCCCATATTTTAAGAAGCCCATCAACAAATTGAAAAAGGTGCAAAGACATGCAATAAAATGGCTCCCACAGCTGAAGGATAAGAGCTATGTGGAGAGGTTAGAGACATTAAATATGCCAAAGCTAAAAGATAGAAGAAAAAGAGGTGATATAATCATTACGTACAAAATAGTAATGAGAATCGATAAAAATGATAGGGAAGAATTCCTGAGACCTGAAACTTGAAGAAGAGGAGGTTATAGATTTAAACTAAATTCATTTTCGCAGAGTGGTAGACGGTTGGAACAAGTTAGGTGAGGTGGTGGTGGAGGGCAGAACCATCAGTAATTTCAAAGCGTTATATGACAAAGAGTGCTGGGAAGACGGGACACCACGAGTGTAGCTCTCATCCTCTAACTACACCTAGGTAATTACACATGTTCTGATATTCTAAGAGTCTTTATTTTATTATTTATTTAGTGTTATTTTATTTGTTTAAGATGAGGGAGGAAGTTCTGATCAGTATTTCATCTAGGAATTATGTATTGTGGAGCTGGGTTTTCATAGAGTAGATCGAGGCTCTTGGACCATCAGCTGTGGGAGTGGGGTGTCCCATCTTGGAGTAATTTTTCTAGCATTGCGTCTTTTTAACATTTGGATTTCGTTGCACACCCTGTTGGCTAAGTGCGGTAGTGATATTAGTGGTTTTATATTCAGTTTATAGCGCTTGTGGATTGTCTGATCATACAGTGGACGGTATTTTGCAGCTTTTCTTATTGGCTTACTTAGCACTGCTTGTCGTTTGTACATGTTTTCTTGATGGTATGTAGTGTTAACTGGAGGATATTGTAGATGTGGCTGGACTAGATTTTTATTCAAGTGAAGCTGTATGTTTATAGTGAGACTTCAGAATCTTCTCAGTTTTTCTAAGACTGCATTTGCTTTGTATAGGCTATCCTTTATGTGAATTTTTACATGTGTTTGATTGATCTTAAGCCCCCAGTGTTCTGGCCACTTCTGCAGAAGTAGGGCATGCTTGTTTCGGCTGTGATACACAACATGGCCAACATGAACCTCAGTCCTGGCTTTGTTGCCGTCAACTCTTACCTTTCACAGTACATATGTAAATGCTTTAACCTTCTTAACAAATGTGACCTGACTTAAGCGTTTCACTTGTTTCTTATATTTACCTCTTTTATTCTTACATTTCCTCTTATCTTCATCATAATCTTAGAATCATTCTATTTGTTTACCTTATTCTTACATTCATTGTATTCTTACATTTATCCTATTCCTACATTTATCGTATGCCTACATTTATCCTATTCCTACATTTATCCTATTCCTACATTTAGCCTATTCCTACATTTAGCCTATTCCTACATTTAGCCTATTTTTACATTTATCTTAGTTTTACCTGCTCCTCACCTCTCATCTTACTCTCTTACCTTGTATATTTGCCTGTTTCTCTCTTCTATTACACAACTTGATAACGGTCCAGGACGGACTGAAACGTCATTGTTTCTTTACTTTCTGGTGTGTGGTTTGGTCATCATACAGGTATGATTACAGATACAGATCATTAGTGGGATAATATGGCGCCTAAATTTTGTATATAATTCTGTCAGATACTGTGAAGCACAACTTAATGGTTTGAATATATACAGATTGGCAGTAACGCAAAGCCTGAGGACATATGGGTTGGGGTAAGTCAATGTTAGCAAAGTTTGAAAATCTTCATTAGCCTTGCTTCTATTCCTTATACGTTACATTTTCTGTTTCGAGTAGCCTTACTTGATGTAACACTTCGTTGCATCCTGTACTATGGTGCCTGTGGTGTGCAAAAGTGCATTGTGTTGTGAAATTTGGACTGTGCTCATGCTGTAAGCTTGCAGCCTGGAAAACAACAGATGGCAAAAATGTTTCATTTAGTTAACAAAAAGCCAGGGATGGTGGCTCAGTTAATCTGGATAATTGTTGATGATGTCTCCACTAACAATATTGTTAGCCCTTTGCCCCACATTTGGTAAAAGATTCCCAACATTGAGTAAATATGTTTCTGGTGTACTGACTGTCATTGTTTTTCATGGCTCTATTACTGGCCATTAGCACCATGTCGTGTTCATAAATCCCATGCTGCACTTTGGACTGTAGCATGCAATATTAGTAATGTTACAATATAACCTCTTAGCTATTTCTTTACTTCATACTTCTGAGTACTGCTGCTCTTTTGCAGCAGTATCTCACTAGATGCGTTACTATTTCCTTCTGTGTACTTTTTGGGCTTAAATAGTGAAATCTGGGACACAGGATGCCTCATTTCACTCAGTGGCTTGGCTTGATGAAGTTGGTGCAAAGGGTACATCACCTGGGCATTTTTGGCTAGAGCAACTGCAAGCTTTATGAACATGTGAATAACATGTACGTTGTGATGTATTGGCAAATAGGATTTTTTGAAGCAGCAGTAAGAACTTGTTAGATTTAGAGGTTAACATTTGCTGTGTTTGATGTTGAGAAAGTGTGACAATATTTGGATATATAATACATTGCCTAGAGTGTGAAAAGAAATAATAAAGGTCAATATATTAGGTTTCCTCTTTGGCTGTATCATTAAGATTGGTTTCAATGCCTTTTATAGATGTGAAAGGACCCCACCAAGGCAGTATGGTTTGTGGGTGGGCTTAATTTAGTTTAATCAGTATTTTAATATCCTCAATATTTGTGGTAATTGAGATTTTATGCTCAATTTTCTTAGAAAACCAAGTATGGCCAAGTTAAACTTGAGGAACTTGTGCAGACTTTGTGAGAAAGGTATCTCCCACCAATCTATAGATAAAACATACGAAAGGTTGTGTGGACCTTGAGAGCTATGGGTTGAGTTTATATAAACTGTAGTCATAACTTCATCTAGTGTTTTGTCTGCTTGGACTGCTGCTGGTAGTAGGTGTCATTTACTAGAAACTAATGCCTTTGTTGTCACATTTGTTTCCTACTGTGCCAGATATGAAATTGTTCTTGACATCTTTACAGTGCTTTAGTACTGTTAGGTCCATGTTCCAGTTTTTAGATATGTAGCAAGGAAACAATTTTAGTTATTGCTTAAGTTTTATTAGTCTATCTGTGCACAACTTGTGCATTTAATTTATGGCAAACATTTTTAAATTTGTTAAGCACAGAATATTATCTGTAGACAATAGAGTACAGTATACATTTTTGTAAAGGCACATGCAACATTTGTAGTGTTAAAATTACTTCACTGGTTACAGTATGAGGTTTGTAATGATCTCTGCTTCTTTAGCACATGTACTTTAATGTTTATTCAAAAAGCTTGTGGCCTATCTCAGAGTTAACTGTGTGGTGTAAATTATAGTTTGTATACTAATGCATTAAATTTTCAGGTTGAATCTGGAAATGTTGCCTGGAAGACATTCTAGCAAGTTCAAGCCTTTTCAGGTTAGTTAATTTCCATTGGTTATATGGTATGTGGTTTGAAGATTAGATATGTTTTGATAACTGATATTTAGTAAAATCTTTATAATGATTTCTAAACAGTTTTTGGTATATTTAATTTCCATTAACGTTTAGTTACAAAACAAGAGGCAATAGTGTGAAATGAATTCTGGTTGACACCTAGTATTTGTGGGTTAAGGCAGAACTAAATTCATTGGGTGGTTGTAGAACCATCTACTGAAATCAGTAGTTCTTCAGCTTATAATAATGGGTTAAGGCAGGTGTCTAACCAGAATGCTAGTCACACCATTGCACCTCTAGTCTTCAGATCACATATGATTAAATATTACTGGTTCCTAAACCAGTAGTGTAATACTTTGATCAGGAAGTAAATAAACTTAGGGATACACCGAGACATTTTATTATCCAAGATTTACAAAGCGGGGGGGATAAACAAAGTATCTTAAGATACGCTGGAGCCAGTCATACCCTTTCTTGTATTTCTCCCTCGTTTAAATAGTACTTGCAGTAACGATATAATCATTTTGTGTTTAGTTATTATGGGCATAATATACTAGGTGTAGCTTTACAATGTGATGTAACAGGCATATCTTTAGTTTGTCTTGCAAGGAAAACTAAAGATGTCTTAGCCTAAGATATGCCTGTTCCATCACATTGTAAAGCTACACCTAGTATATTATGCCCATAATAACTAAACAGCACAACAAAATGCTGATTATATTTTTACTGCAAGTACTATTTAAACAAGAGGGAGAAATTCTTAATGAAGTAACTACTTAATGAAGAAAATCTTTCCGTGTTCAGCTTTGCAGCAAACATTTTCATTGATGTTCTTGCCCTCCACACCTGTCAGATGAGAAGGGTAGAATGATCATACATCTATTTCATCAATATAAATTAAAAGTATGCCTTTTGATTCACTTAATTGACAAATGACATGCCAAGTCTGACTTACAAATTAGTTCATGGTCAATACTTTAGCAATTTCCTGTCATTTTACAACTATTACCTTAAATGACCAACAAAACTGTTAGGCAAACTTATTAAATCTTTGTAAAGTGATAAAACTTTAGAAAAAAAGCTTGGTTCTCTTTTTTACATCTGTTCAACATTAACCATCTCTGGAAAACTAGGTAATTGCAACCATTTGAATGATGTAGCCCTTTAACTACCTAGTCAGGCACAACCATCTGACTCGATGTTACAAGGTAGTGGTAGTACCCAGCACTTTGGCCAGGTGCCAATCTAACTGTAGTAAATGTGTACCTGGTCAAGTTTTTTCATTCTAGTGGTGGGAAATATTAAGGACCTGTTCCAAACACTATGCATGCTGGTGCCTGTACAATGTAGCAGAAATCTTCTCTTGGGGCCCCTTTTACAAATTGCCAGCCATTAGTATTTCCTACCACAAACAAAAATTAACTAGACAATAAGTCTGATGCACTATCCACGTACTCTGCCCAACAATCCCATCACCACTACCATTAGTAAAACAGCCAAAAACATTATACCAACTGCCATTATGCTGCAGGTAAATAAAGACTAGTTGTACAACCATCAATGATGATTTTTAACAGTTACAATCTGGCTCTAGCATACTCAAATCCCAGACCCCAGGTGTGCAAGACAATCTATTAACCAAGCTTTAGTAGTCTTAAAAAGCAAATTTTTTCCAGAAGCTGCACTCTGCTGCAGAACTATCTTCAAATTTGGCAGTAGGCTGCTGCTTCTGGAAACATAGGTTGCTCCTTGAGGTTACCTTGAGGTGCTTCCGGGGCTTAGTGTCCCCGCGGCCCGGTTGTCGACCAGGCCTCCTGGTTGCTGGACTGATCAACCAGGCTGTTAGACACGGCTGCTCGCAGCCTGATGTACGAGTCACAGCCTGGTTGATCAGGTATCCTTTGGAGGTGCTTATCCAGTTCTCTTGAACACTGAGGGGTCGGCCAGTTATGCCCCTTATGTGTAGTGGAAGCGTGTTGAACAGTCTCAGGCCTCTGATGTTGATAGAGTTCTCTCTCAGAGTACCTGTTGCACCTCTGCTTTTCAATGGGGGTATTCTGCACATCCTGCCATGTCTTCTGGTCTCATGTGATGTTATTTCTGTGTGCAGGTTTGGGACCAGCCCCTCAATTATTTTCCACGTGTAAATTATTATGCATCTCTCCCGCCTGCGCTCAAGGGAGTACAGATTTAGGCTCTTTAGTCGGTCCCAGTAATTTAGATGTTTTACCGAGTGGATTCTAGCAGTAAAGGATCTCTGCACGCTCTCCAGGTCAGCAATTTCTCCAGCTTTGAAAGGGGCTGTCATTGTGCAGCAGTACTCCACTCTAGAGAGCACAAGCGTTTTGAACCATATGCTCAGGTGAATGCAGTTTCTCACAAAAGTATGGATGACAGTTTGTAAGCTTTAAGTTAAAGTGACTGAGCAGGTTGATCATCTCCACATTTGATCAGAAACCCTTATTTATGATCCAAGACCAGCAACCATTTCCTTACTCTCCGCTACATTGACAAAGTTCCTCCCCAACACCACCCAAAGGAACAACATTCTACAGCTTCTGCTATCACAAAAGACCAAAGATTTACCTTGTTCAAGGGTAAAGTATTTAACCAATGAGAACCTTAAAATGTCTCAAAAAAGTTTGTAAACTACCCTTAAACAGACTAACAAATAACTATCCACTGGTATTTTTTGGGAAGATCAAAGCATGCAAGCATGATAAATTTAAAAACAGCACCACAGCTTTTTACCAATGGGCAACAAAATTAGCACTTAGTTTTTATACAAATGTATATTTTTTTTTTTTTTTTTTTTTTTTTACTAGCCATGGAGCATGATTGTCTAAATAACACCAGATAGTTTTACATTCATAAACCCAGGATTTTACTTTACACTAAAAGACTGCACAAAACAATCTTTTCTACATAAGCAGGCATATCACAAACTTTACAACCCTTTACACATTTTATCATTCAAAATTAGCAATACAAAGCCATCAATCATTTTTTAGTCATTATCCTAACAAATGTTTCAATAAATGAAGACATTTAAAGGATAGCCCCCCATATTTCAGACTCTTGCCTAACTATATGCACAAGTTAGTTATCTTGAGATTTCGGTGCTTTAGTGTCCCCGCAGCCCGGTCCTCGACCAGGCCTCCATCCCCAGGAAGCAGCTCGTGACAGCTGACTAACACCCAGGTACCTATTTTACTGCTAGGTACCTAGAGGCATAGGGTGAAAAACTCTGCCCATTGTTTCTCGCCGGCACCCGGGATCGAACCCAGGACCACAGGATCACAAGTCCAGTGTGCTGTCCTCTCAGCCGACCAGCTCCCAAGTTTCATACGTTTGCAAAACTTCAAAATGCCTATTGTATTAGGTGAACAGAAGTACTGTATTAGGTTACAAATGCTCAACCATTTCAATCCTATCTACTGTTCAAACCCACTATTACAAACAGCTCAGACTCGCTTGCGATGAAAGCATCTGATAATGGTAATTTTATATTCCTACATTAACAACCTTTACTTTATGGTTAGTTTTGCCAGTGAAGTCATTAATATACTAAATATGGTTTTTCAAAACTTTTACATCAGATATATTCATAACCTCATTCAGTCCTAGATTTTTTTTTAAATGTAATAAGTTTAATATTACAATTGCTTGGTAATATGGACTACAGGTTATTTTATTTTCAAATTAGTTTTCTATTTTTCCTAGAAACATTACCATTACTAACCCTGAGTTTATAATGCATAATAAAACTAGCTGATGCTTGCAAGTAGGATCCGACGTCCATCCTGTACTGTAGTTAGCCTGCCGATACCTTCAGCCACCATACTCTGCAAGAGAAAAATTATTTACTCGGCACTTATTGCCATCCTAGCTTGTGGCAAAACCAATAAGTATGTTCTTGTCCCAACCAAGGCACAACATATCTAGTACAGTATATGCACCAATGCAATCATTTGCCCCCCCCCCCCTCCCTAATTAGGGAGATTTTAATAGTTAATTACTAATGAAATTACTCTGAACACTAAAGCACATAAGCACCATGTACACTTATACTAGACAGTAAGCAAGTAATTATCAAAAAAAGGCACCAAACCAGGATTATACTAAAGAGGATTTTAATATAAAAAGACATTGGAAATTATACAACACTCCTTCCCCCCCCCCCCCCCTTATACAGTACTAATACACAGGACTTAACTCGTTCAGGTAACAATATGACTTTAGTATGCTTATGCTTTGCTTCATAGTCATCTATGGCAAATTTAATTACAGGACGAGAGCAACACTCGTGGTGTCTTCTATTTCAGCCACTTTCAAACTACCGATTGCTTCACCCCACCACATTTTACTTGTTCCAACCAACCATTTGCAAAGGTTATTTTACTGTTATTTCTTAGTTATCTAGTTTAAATCTATGGCTGATTTTTCCTTCAAGTTAAAGGTTTGAAGTTTTAATTCATTGTTATTTGGTATGTAGTGATCACATTGCCTTTTCCCATCTTCTAGTTTAATGCCTCCAACCTCTTAAATGGTTTGTGTAACCAAGAGTACTTTGTATTTGCAGTCAAACTGGAAAAGTTGCAAACTCGAAATGCAAATACTAAAATACAAACTCCATACAACTGCTACACATTTCAGCTTTGGTTTCCAAAGGTTGAACAATTTGTATTTCATTATACATGTACACTATTTAAAACACTTCAGATTTGAGAAGTACAGGCTCCTCACACAATGTTATGTGCTCCTGTGGTGAAAACCATTTACAACCATCCCTACAGCTTCTAGTAAGATGTTATCAAAAGAAGGCAAACCAGGAAAGCTATGTAACACTATCAAATGCACAAAATCAGAAGGTGCAAAGTGGCACCAAACCAGGAAGGCAGAAGGTGCTAAATATTACCAAGGATGCCAATACTAGAACAAGTATCAAAAGTATCCGATTCGCCAAGAATTCTATCGAGGGACAAGCGACGGTCGGAAAGCAAGGATCTGTCAAAAGCCTTTATTTTACGTCTAGTGATGCAGTTAATCCAACCATACTTTTCCTGAAATCCATTTCTACAAATTTAGTAAACGTTACAAATGTAATCAAAGACATCAAACCAGAAAGGAAATGTTACAAAAGTATCTTACATTGAAACCCATACTGCTTTTCCTCTGCTCTACCATTCGGTATAAAGATTTAAAATATTACAGACTATTAAAAATGATACAGGTCTAATTAAGGGGTCTTCCCTGATGCCATTTTTGTAGATTAGAACCATGCGTGCCCTTTTCCTCCACATCTGCTACAGCACACGGATGCCTGAAAAATCAATTTAAATAGAATGCCGAGCTCAAGCGACCACACCTAAGCCAAGATGAAACTTCTGCTTACCCAACTGCTTTGTTTCTAAACTGAGCACTTCTGCCCCCACTATCCCTAGACTTGTGTGCACTACATTCACTGGAATTCTTATATCTGGTTCACTTCATTTCACACACTTGCAACCATTCGCTGCATTTCACACATTTACTTTCCCCATTTTCCTTTCAATTTAAATTTTTTAAATCTGCCTTAAATTTTGGCCATTCTTCACTATAGTTTGTCTTAGTGCTGGCATGTTTGAGGGTTTGTACTCTGCCTATATTTTTTTTTTTTTTTTTTTTTTTTTAGTTATCCCTCTTTCAATTTGTTGAACCAATCATTTCCCATTTCATTTGTAGTTTTAAATTTTGTGATTCATTTTACAAAACTTTACATATTTCTTGCCTATTGAGAAGTCTTGCCAATCAAATTCATTAAAGATTTTTCCAAATTCTCCCATGGTGTATTCTAAAATCATGTTTTTCCAAACTATATTACTCTTTAGATTAGAATGCATTGCATAGTTCATTCCCGAAAGAACTGGCCTCCCCCCCCCCTCCCAAGGGCAAAATGGTATCTAAAACCCAGATCTTCCATTTTCTTTCCAAGTACCAATTTTAACATTGAAAGAACTTTCCCCTTCCCTCATAGCCTGCTTAACATGTTTATGCACAATGTCTAGGATTACATTACAAATCTATGGGTCCAAAAGTGTCCTAGATTCATAGGCCTCCGTCTCTGGATTTAAAGTCACCATCACTAACTACCAACATGCATCTTCATCTCAAATCCAACAGGGGCCGTGACGAGAGTTCGAACCTATGTCCAAGATGATCCCAGACACTGCCTTCATCGACTGAGCTACGACATGGTTAAAATAATTGCAACCGGGAAATCCCGATTTACCGACGGATCCTGCAGTCTCTCCGAGACAAACCAATCCCTCGTGGATGTTTATTTTATGCATCATGCTATTGTGATTTGTGTAATTTATCTTCATCCACTAGTGCTATAATAAAGATTGGTATGAAACTTATTATCCAGCACCTCCATTGTCCACAAATTGCATGACTGGGCTATATGCCTTTATGATCAGTATCAACCTAATTACATATTTAGTGCCCTTATGTCAACTTCATGTTTTGGCCATTAACCAGTGTGGATGATTAATAACTTATCCAAATAATTGTCCAGGATCTCTATTTCTCATCATGCAAAATTCTACTCAAGTTGCAGACATCTTTACAAGATGTATCACTAGCCCAACAGTTTTATCTATTCCTATCACTTCCATGACTTTCATAGATCCTCATTTTCTTTGCAACCTATTAGTATGAACTTACTTTGTCTTGCACCAGTTCTTGGTGCGATGTCTTCCTTAGTCTAATGTCCGCTGTCTTTATTACTGCCATTACCGACTTCCTCTACTACCATTTCCTTATCCCTGGCCACTTCTACATTATTGCAGAGTCTGCAGCACCCTTGAAAGAAAGGAGGGTGATAAAATCTTGAACAGGCTAAACAAATTAAATAATATTAAAATTTGACCCCATGTACCCGAACTCTTAAATGGTAACTAAATTAGGACTATGGTTCAAGTTTTGAATGGACAAATTCTACAGTTAAATAGTACAGGCACGACATTTTAAGAGAATTTATAGTATAATTAGTCAAGAGCCCAAGAGAGTCAAATCTGCCAATGTCATATAGAGTAAGGTCACCAAGTACAGCACAGTATTAGAGAAGACGAGACTAAAGACAATAAGCACTAGTAGCTTTGGAAGCTAGAGCTACCGTGAACCAGACTGAAGATTGTCTAAATATATTTAATCTTTCCAATACCGTTAGTCATTTTGCTATAAAGTTCAGGTATAATGGGGCCCACACTAACCTTTCAACCACAATTACAGTTTGCTATAAATTTTGGCTTTCAGTACTCGTCCTTAAGTCCTTAACATTTAAGCTTCCCTTTAGTTAATACTCATTAGCCTTTATTTCCCAAGGATAGTTTCCCCTCTTATTAGTAGGTACAAATACAGTGCAGTATTTCATAACTGGTTACTGCCAGTTTCTACCCACCATTAGGTTATGTTAATGGGATAGTCTTTACACTTTGTAATACAAAAAGTTTAAGATATTTCATTTACAAAAACGCCAAATCCAGATTTTCAGGAACACTGCATAAAGTACACTTAAGTATTTAATACAATATTTTACAGTAACATTCTTGTAAGGATAAGGTTTACTTGCCAGTTTACAAGTAGGCTTACTGGTACCGTTATATACTTTTAGACCATCACTATTCAGAATAGCTGAGGAAATGGGGTAGTGGTAGAGGAGTTTGGCAACATTTATGTAGCTGGTATGCAATAAAACGTAATCCAGGAACTTAATTCTAGTAACCATGCTCGACATCGTGCATGCATGACATGCAAGATGGGCAAGTCGGTAGTCTAATAACATTTCCTATGCTACAGCTTGTCCAACAGTTGTCAAGTCACAAACATTAACTATTGTTTGACCCTAACAAGTGGTCCCATGAATAGTAACCATCCCATCAATATAGCGAGCTGCTCCAAGGCTTAAGGATACCCAACGTTAAATTATTACGTCTACATACGTTGCACCATTCACGATGATTGCCAAAAGTGTACACTTTAAAACTGAAGCAAGCTCCATTTATGCCTTGTCTGACTACATGACTACCATGTACTATTGAAGGTCACATCCTTAACGCAACAAGGCTGTCTAGCGATTAACAAGACCGAAAGAATGTTCAAAGAAATTATTAAGACCCAGTATCTAGTTTAATTATGGGCCTTCCAATAAACTCAATAATAGTGTTCTACTGTAATCTTATTGCATAGTCAATTATGCTCTTTAAACCAGGAAGTTAAATGCACTTTCAACTGGATCACTCTCCCTCCTTATTCAGCTAATGCAAATTACCAATTTTCTGGGGGTGTAGTACCCGAGCCAATGTGTCTAACACTTCCCACTACCGCCCACAAACTGTCTGGGGTGCATAATAAATTAGAAAATACAGACATACAATACAAGTAATTAAACTGTAATTAGATTGTTTCAAGCGCGGGTTGGACAAGTATATGAGTGGGATTGGGTGGTTATAGAATAGGAGCTGCCTCGTATGGGCCAATAGGCCTTCTGCAGTTACCTTTGTTCTTTTGTTCTTAAACATTTCCCACCCGTTTAGCAATTCCACTTGGCACGGGATTCTGCAGTAACCCATCGCCAGAAGTGTCTAGCAAGAGCCAGGAGGTACCTTACACAGGGCAGCCAGGGATGGCTGATGGGCCCATCCCTAGAGTGGGACTATGAACGCCATTAGAACAAGTGCACATTAAGCATATGCAGCCATAACTTAAGCCTTCATGCAGGATGCCTGAAGTCCGCAGGTGCTGTCTGCTCCTGGTGTAGACGGCCTTCCTTCCAGGAGTCAGCTGGAGGAGGGTACTATATGATGCCAATCACTGGAGGAAGGGTCACGTACCCAGTCTCTGTAACCCCGTTTGTTATCAAAGTTTGTGATGTCCTACCATGCATCCATCTTCCAGTGCCTCGTGTCCAAGGTCATGCTCCTGTAAGAGTGAAATGTAAAGAGTAAAATGTGAACAAGTGCATGCAGACCGTCCTAAAGTGTACTGGGCTAAATGCATGTAGACCAGCCACTAGCTAAAGGGGAAAGGAGGAACATTAAGTTCCTATCAACAGTAAAGTGCAATAAAATTGTCAATTTAGGCTCCTAGTTAGGAGTTTATCACCGATCTTAACGCTAACTTTACTATGTTTATTAGTTGGAGAATTTATACAAGAAACCTGTAGTGGTAGATTTTACTAGTAACATTTGATGCTTTGAAAAGATCAATGGACACTAATGAAACCCTATGTGCACAGGGATGAAGACTTAGGGATGCAAATTAAACAGCAACACAGTGGAAAGTACCGTGATAATGTTGGGTAAATGTGGACCCATATGAAGGACACTAGCCGAAATACAAGGAATTTAATATTTTTAAACCAGAACTTAGAAGTGACCCCTCAGGAGAGGGGTGGAAGGGGCCAGGGGTGAAAACAGCCCTTCTCTACGTCAAGAGTAGTTCTAGTGCTCTAATCCTTATCTACCAGACCCAGAACAGGACGTATCAATTCCAAGTCATGAAGCTGACGGTAACTAGACGAGTATGTGTATCCCCCCCTTACTACTTGGGAGGGGGGGGGGATTAGGGGTTACTTTTTCACCAGTCCCATGGCCGGACCCCCCCCCCCTCTCCCAAGCCACAAGACATTTATGCGCCCCCCAAAAATCACCTAAAACATTAAAATACGCGACAAATTATGTTAACATTGGGGAGAGGAAAATTAAACACAGGGGAATAAAACTAGGTATATGAATTAACAATGCTTTCTGTTGCACAAGGTTAAACCAATTAGCAGAGAGCAGTGTAGCTGACTTTACTCTTCTCAAAGGCCCCGGAGTGGCGGGGGAATCTTGCTCACTTATGACCCTCCAGCCGAAGCTTTATCTCCCGGGTTCTGCCAAGCCATTAACTATCTCCATATCTAAGTGGTATCCAAGTACTCTACACCGTGCCGCAGGAGAGTACCACTGCCGTCCCTTCACGCGGTGGCCGTAGTGCTGCGATAAAGTACAATTAACAAGCAAAAGGCAGCTGCGCGTTTTATTTATTTTCATTTGATTTATACACAAGGTACATTGGGTTGTGAGAATACATAGTATTTACAATCTTAAAGCCACTAGTACGTACAGCGTTTTGGGCGGGTCCTTAATCTAATAGATAATTTAAAGTAGGTAAATTCTAGCAGAATAATAAAATGATTAGATACATTGCAAGAAAAAAGTGACTAGACAAGTATATTAAAGCTGATTACATTGACAGCTTGATTGGTAATTTAAACAAAATTAATAGGCTTTTAAGCAAGTGGGTAATACTTTCCCACTTGCTTGACGGCGACATTGGTAAACAAGTTTGGAATAGACTTAAAATAATGGAGAGAAGTACTGGTAATATAAATAGGGCATGCTGGGCAAACTTGCCAGTAATCCAGACTAAAGCGATGCGGGCGGTGTCCTCCAGTCGGGTAGGAGCAGCACCTAATTAGTACAAAGAACACTAAATTAGAACGGTAAAAATGGAAACTAGTCATAATGCTAACGATACCATCACCTAACGTTATAGATCTTATAATAAACCAACAAAAAAGCTACGACTACCCTGGGAGGAGGACATTTAAATCAATAGGCCAAGTCCCTCAATGACTAACCCCCTTAGGAAAGTACAATGGCTCGTTGAACACTACACGTGACAATGCCACCCCCACCAATGCACATTCCACAGCCACTACAATGATTATAAAAACCGTTAATGAAGGACTAGTAAACATTCTGCACCTACATTAGCCACAAAGATAATATTAAAACTAAAACAGAACTTAGAAAGAAAAGAAACTGGGGGGGGGGAGGACGAAACCCCACCTCCATTTAAAACGGCCCCAAATATCAGTAACAAGGTTATCGCGAATAACCCAACTCAATTACGGGCTCACCATATCCCGTGCTACGTGTACATTTAGTTCAGTAGCTAAATCTTAAAACCAACCCCCAATAAGTAATGTTGCCGTACAAGGGCGCCAAAGAGTCAGGAGCATACCCCAGCATGGCCGCTGAAGTCGTGTTGAGGAGACACCGAGGACTGCATGTCACAGGTGTACGAAGACATGGATAAAACTGTGCTGCGTGTTAGTGTTAAGGGGAGAGAAACAAGGCGGAAAGCGCTTAAAACTCCTCCCGCACCTCCTCCCGCACCTCTCTGCGGGAGGAGGTGCGTCAGCTTAAAAAAACAACGAGAAGTAACGAAGGAGGAGACCAGCAGTAAAGGGACCTCGTCTTGGAGAGTTGCGAAAGACAGGGGCCTTAAGAAGACTTTGATAAAGCCGCCTTCAAACGCCATAGCAACTTCAAATTCATTTGACGTTTTGGAGGACGAGTGCTGTGGAGAGACTGTGGATCGCGCAAAAGGGAAAGCAACGAAGAGAAAGGAAGCGCAGGCCCCTCAGAAAGTAAAGGAAGTACCTAAGCAAACATTAGTTGTGGGAGATTCCCAGATAAGGTATTTGGATAGAACGTTTTGTGCTAGAGATAGGGGGAACAGGTTAAGGGTTTGCTATCCCGGAGCTGGCATTGGTGATATTATAAACAACATGAATGATATTATGGCTGGTAATGGTAACAATCCCATTATTTGCATTAGCGTGGGAGGAAATGATGTTGGTCGAGTCAGGAGTGAGGAACTGATTCAGAGGTATAAAACAGCCATAGAGTTAGTTAGGAGCAAGGGAGGAATCCCGATCATATGTGGCATTCTTCCAAGAAAGGGAGTGGGAAATGAATGGATATCGAGGGCACTTGGTGTCAATTGCCGGCTGGAAAGATATTGCAAATCAAATGCAATATCTTTCATAGACAACTGGGAACACTTCTATGGAAGAAATGAAATGTATGCTCGTGATGGGGTGCATCTATCGAGAGCTGGGGTTGTTGCTGTTGCGAACTCGCTAGAAGAAGTGGTTAGAGGTGTTTGTTTGGGTTTAAACTGTTAGTAGATAGAGGTATGGGAATTGATTTGGAGGAAGGAGGTAATAAAAGTATGTGTTTGTGGGAGAAAGGAATTGGCAAAACGATCAGGGAAAGAGAAGGTCCGCAAAATAACAATTCACTTAGGGTATATTACACTAACAGTAGAAGTCTAAGAAATAAAATTAACGAATTAAATGCTCTTGTCTGCACAGAAAAAATAGATATTATTGCACTTACCGAAACGTGGATGAATGTAGAAAATAGAGAACTATTAGCTGAATATCAAATATCTGGATTTAAACTATTTCACACAGATAGATATATTAGACGAGGAGGTGGAGTAGCCATATATGTTAGGGACAATTTGAAATGTAGTCTCAAAGAGGGAATCAAAACAGAGCCACACACAGAAACTATTTGGATTGAATTAAACGAAAAAGCTAATAATATTATAATAGGAGTAATATATAGGCCACCAAATTTAGACAGAATGGAAGCAAAGCATCTATGGGATGAAATATCTAGAGCATCTAGATCTAACAGTATTTATGTCATGGGTGACTTTAATTTTAGCGGAATAAACTGGTTGAACAAAACAGGGAATAGTGAAGCAGAAGATTTTCTAGAATTAATTGACGATTGCTTTCTTACGCAACACATTAAGGAACCAACACGGGAAAATAATATTTTAGATTTAGTGTTAACTAACAGGGAAACGCAAATTAATGACATCGAAATAGGGAGTGAGCTAGGGAGCAGTGATCACAAAGAAATCAGATTTAGCATAGAATGGAATAGACCAGTAGGAGAAAATTCTGTTAAAGTGCCAGATTTTCGAAAAGCTGATTTTAATAGCCTAAGAAATTTTTTGGGTCAAATTGATTGGAAAGGCTTGGGTATGGGGTGTGGGCCGGTCTTGGAGCGAGACATGAACCCAGCGATAGGTGACTTAAATGGGGATTTCGATGTGGATTCAATATATAACTTATTTAAGAATATTCTAAACAAAGCACAGGAACGTAGTATACCATACAAATTGAATAGATCGTATACTAATGACCCAAAGTGGATAACAAAGAATTTGAAGAACCTTATAGGTAAAAAGAGAGCTTGGTACAAAAGGATTAAAAATGGGGAGGTCACTTTAGAACAGGAATTCGTACAACTGGTTAGAAATGTTAAAAAAGAGATAAGGAAAGCAAAAAGAAACTATGAAGTTCGCATAGCAGGGCAAGCAAAGACAAATCCTAAAGGGTTTTTTCAGTTATATCGTACTAAGACTAGGGAAAGGATAGGTCCATTAAAAACTGAGACAGGTCAAATAACAGATAGTGATGAAGAGATGAGTAGTATTTTTAATAAATATTTTGTATCTGTATTTACTAAAGAGGAACTTAACAATATGCCTTCAGCCGAACAAGTCTATGTGGGTGGGGACGAGGACAGGTTGACGAGTTTAGCAGTTACCAGGGAGGATGTTCTTAAACAAATAGTAAAACTCAAACCAAACAAATCCCCAGGGCCGGATGAAGTGTTTGCTAGGGTGCTTAAAGAATGCAAAGAGGAGCTTTGTGACCCACTGTCAACCATATTTAATAAATCAATAGAGTCAGGCAGAGTGCCAGAGTTTTGGAAAGTTGCTAATGTGATACCAGTTTTTAAGAAAGGAGATAGATCACTTGCGTCTAACTATCGACCAATTAGCCTAACGTCTATTGTGGGAAAGTTACTCGAATCTATAATAGCAAATAAAATTCGTCTTCATCTTTAAAAACATAAATTAATAATTGAGTCGCAACATGGTTTTATAAATGGCCGTTCATGTTTAACAAATTTGTTATCTTTTTATTCTAGCATTGTTGAGGCAGTTGATAGTGGTAAGGATTGCGATGTTGTATACCTTGACTTTAGCAAAGCTTTTGATACAGTGCCACATGAAAGACTGATTAAAAAAATAGAGTCTCATGGTATTGGGGGTGCTATATTAAGCTGGATTAGGGCATGGCTATACCAAAGGAAACAGAGTTAGTATAAATGGAATCAAGTCAGAGTGGGAAAATGTTGTAAGTGGAGTGCCTCAAGGCTCTGTCCTGGAACCTCTGTTGTTTATAATATATATAAATGATTTAGATTCAGGTTTGAGTAGCAACATTTGCAAATTTGCCGATGATACGAAAATCGGTAGGGAAATTAATTCGGAGGAGGACTCACTATCACTTCAAGTTGATCTAGATAGGGTTTTGAAATGGTCAAAGGATTGGCAGATGCAGTTTAATGCTGATAAATGTAAAGTTCTGAGGTTAGGTAATGATGATAGAGTTACAAGATACGAGCTAGATGGTGTTGTGATTGCGAAGTCGGATTGCGAAAGGGATCTGGGAGTTATGATTAGTAAGAATTTAAAACAAAAGGATCAATGCATAAATGTTCGTAATAAGGCAAATCGGACACTTGGATTTATTAATCGCAGCGTTAGTAACAAGACACCTGGTGTGGTTCTCAAGCTATATCTTGCTCTAGTTAGGCCCCATTTAGATTATGCAGTTCAGTTTTGGTCGCCATATTATAGAATGGATATAAATTCACTTGAACGTGTCCAGCGTAGGATGACTAAGTTAATTCCCCAAATTAGAAATCTTTCATATGAAGAAAGATTAACAAAGCTTAAGTTGCATTCACTGGAAAGGCGAAGAGTTAGGGGTGACATGATAGAGGTTTACAAGTGGATGAATGGACATAACCGGGGGGATATTAATAGGGTATTAAAAGTATCAACACAGGACAGAACACGAAACAATGGATATAAATTGGATAAGTTTAGATTTAGGAAAGACTTGGGTAAATACTGGTTCAGTAACAGGGTTGTTGATTTGTGGAACCAATTGCCGCGTAACATTGTGGAGTTGGGGTCCCTCGATTGTTTCAAGCACGGGTTGGACAAGTATATGAGTGGGATTGGGTGGTTATAGAATAGGAGCTGCCTCGTATGGGCCAATAGGCCTTCTGCAGTTACCTTTGTTCTTATGTTCTTCTTCTTAAACGGGACGCAAAGAGCGCCGAAGGACAGGCAGGAGCAAACTAGAAAATTATGACCAAGAGTACTACCCACAAAGGGCATTAAAGCAGCAAGTGCCAATTTAATTTTTTTAACGATCTCTGTAGATCGTTAAGTCAGAGTCTATGATTAAGTCCATGATTGCCATGCAATGGCTCCTTTCCTCCCCCCCCCCCAGTAAAAGTGGACTAGAGGCCAAGTAGGGACATGAACCAAAGGGAATTGAGGCGGGAATGTCTAGCACAAATTAAACTAATAAAAATAGTCTTAACTAATTTAATAGTTGCCGCGGCCAGACAGTCCAAGCTGGGTGCACAGATGTGGCAAGATTGTAAATTTTCAGGGGGTAGCAAAGACATTGATTTTGCGACATCGAGAATACAAAGGCATCAGCCGTGCCAAGAATATCTTTGCTTCAGAAAGGCAAATTACAGAGTCTCCAGCGCGGGAGCCCTCTGGGAAGGAATTAATTGGTGACAAGCACGCATGCAGAGCTGGGGCGCAGAATTACTGGCGTGCACGACAATTTCAGTGGACAGAAGAGTAAGGATACTAAAGAGAAACTAAAAGATGGAAACAAATGAGGCCAAGACGAAGATAAAGGATAAAATAAAAAAGACTAAAGATATTGAAAACGCAAGCTAGTAGAAATGCCCTACACTCCGAGGGAGTGCGCCAAACAAAAGGACGCTAATGCAACAAAGTGGTGGATCTGGTAAGACTGCTGGAGGGGACGGTAGACGTCCCAAGAAGTCCAAGGGACGTTAGACACGCCGGTGAGGTACAATAAAGGGAGAGGAAGTGTACGGGGAACTAGTGAAACTATGGGACAAGGGAATAACTGGCCGACCTCTACGTTTAGGTCGTTTGAAAACTACCTTTAAAGGATACTTTGTCAACTAGGCTGTTACTAATGTCAGGCTGCTAGCAGCCGCGTCTTTTTGTATCAAGGTATTTTAGTAATTTCCTTAGGCTAGGTGCATGTTTTTAGCACATGTTCTTGTTTATAAGCATTGTAAATAGCAAGGCATGCAAGCTATACCCGGTGACGCAATTTTGTCAAACGCTGGAGCACAGTTTCTCTTCCTACCAAATTGTAGGAGCGTCCATCTTGGTTGACGAGACCAAATAGAAGATCCCATTAAGAGACAGGGCCTTGGGGGACGTGAACCAGCCCCCCCCCCGAAATAACGCCAAGTAGTTTATGGGTAGGGGAACGGACCTTCCCCTACCCCCACGAACCAAGTGACACTAACACAAGGCGACCCCACAGCCTAGGTTCGTAGGTATGCAAGACTGAGGTACACTACTAACAGGCTCGAGAATAAGAACAAGTCTTACCTTTGTGCTGAAGAAGCTTTAAGACCAGAGGGCGTCCCTAGCATGCAAGCTATTTCAGTCATCTTGTGTAGCGATACCCTCGTCATCGCTGCTGCCGCCGATTCTGCTGTATCTTCCTGTAGGAGAGGACACGTTAGCGTGGGTGTTGTGGCCGGCGAGAAACTGACTGTCCCCCAGCCGTTATAATCGCCAGTCACTTTTCCTAAGGTTTAGGAACAAAGAAACTTACTAAAGCGCCCTTGTCCTCGCCCATCAGAGGACCCAAAACAAAATAGGACTCTCTCGAGCCGCTACCACTTGCTAGTACGACACTGCCCTTTGGAAGAATGTCAAAATGCGACGATTGATGAAGATTAAGCCACCCAAAAGGTGGCACGGGCATGAATAGCCCGTAAGGGGTGGTCCTTTTGAGCCATTACCAGTATCAAAAGCCGATACTGGAGATCTGTGGATGTGCGACTGCACCCTGCGTGACGGGAGATGTCTCCCGTGTAAATGCGATGTTCTATTAGGACAGTTAACCCCGGGGCGGCCACCAAACAGCAGGGAAATAAGCACACCAAGTCAACTTTTAGAAGAAGGTTCACTGACCACCACACTAGAAGACAAGACTTTTCGGTCTGTCCTGGATAATACTAATGGTCCAGAATGGACCGAAACGTAGTTCTGTGTGGTTTGGTAAATAGTATGGAAATTAGGTTCATAGCAGTCAGAAGCCTAGCAAAAGTTCGTCACTCCGAAGAAGGGGAGAAAAAAAACTTACACATCTAATGAAATCCTGTCAAACCGTTATTTACAATGAGTAATTTAATAAAATATTCTAAGAAGCTTCGAAACACTCCATTATTCACCATGCCTAACCTAGGTGTCTGGTACTAACATTATCAGCCTATCCTACAACGGCCTGGAATTTTTATAAACTCACTAACCCAAGCCACGCACTTAACGTACTGCGTAATTACCATTAAGTAATCTGGTAGACTTTAGGCAGTTACGCCATCTATCATTCTATTATGCAGGAAGAACCGCATTTCTATGGGTCATCCAATAAGGTTAGTAGACTTTACATGTTACCACTGCTAGGCTTAGGCTCTGCTACAAGCCCCTTTGAATTTGCAACGTCTGATTTACATTTTTCTAAATTTAAACTGCCAGCAGAACCATTTGCATACTTTGCGTTATAATGCAATGTAATGAAAAAAATAGCAATTCAGACACCATCAATGCCGTGTAAGAAATGTGAAAGTACTTTCTTCTTAGTGATCCTGCCAGGAATATTAGCGAAGTGTTCAACATTTCCTTACTGTAGGTGTAGTTTGCATATTACTAAAGCTACCACCCAGTTCAGTAGGTGTGGAATAACACTAACTGAATCGTCATAGATGTAAAGTGCCTTTAAAAAAGACCTTTAGCCTCTTGTTGAATCACTAATCAAAGATCTTAGTATCTAAATTATGTACATTTATATACATAACTGGTTTAAGTAGCTTCAAAAGATTTTACCACTTAAATGTAGTATAGGGTTCAGTTCCTGAACCCATTATGTGCCTGTAACCCTTTTCACCACCACCCACGGAATGTTATGGGGTGCATAAGAAATTGAATCCAAGAATACAAAGAACCGTCCCCTTGTGTAGACTACCATTAAAAAAAAAAATGAACTTACATTTTCGGCAGTACTGCCAAGAGTCTCCGTAGAGGTGATGGGGGGGGGGGGGGGGAAAGAGACCCTCACCCTTTCTTCATGGGAGGTTTGGAAGCCAATTCAGACCCTTCCACCCTTCCCGTGTAATCAAATCTATGAAGTTAAAAGAATCAAGAAGCGTCCATCCAGCCTTAGGACGTAACTTGGTGGGGATGGGGGGGGGGGGGGGGGGGGGGTAGAAATAGCCTAAGTTACTCCATCCCTTTGAGATGGTTTGAGATGGTATTTTTCTTTTCTCAAACATACTTGAATTTTAACTTTAGATCTATCGCATTACGCCCAAAATGTGCATTAGAGTCAATTTAAAATATATAGTCCATCCCAGGATAACATGGCAGTCATATCTATGCTTTTAAGAACACTAGAATCAAGTTCAAATTCTCGTATGTAGCTCAAGAAAAATCTTTTGTCTACACACTTTTGCCTTAAAAAATCACTATAGACAACCATCAAATAATCATAAAAGGTTCAACAAATTTGTATTAACCAAACACTCATAAAAATAATAAAATACCGGTTGAAACGACAAGGAACACCAACGACTTCAAAACAATACCTGCTGGTCGACCTCCCATGTCAAGTTCCTCCTTCAACACTGCCCACAACACTACTGACAATCCCCGGCCACAACCTGCCATAAATCACCTCTGTGGTCCAGAAACAACAAGAATGGCAACTCACCACATCACGCGTATGTTGATAATCCAGTAACGTTGGTAGACTTATAGTTCTGCTGTCAAAACATAGATGGCGCAAGGACACATGGTAGTCTCCAATGGACTCACCTAGTTGTGCTTGCGGGGGTTGAGCTTCGGCTCTTTGGTCCCGCTTCTCAACTGTTCCTGATCCTATTGGGCTCTATCTAGTTGCCTGAAACGTTATGGGTGTTAGTAGCCTTGCAAGAATGTAAAAATATCTCTAATGTAATCTCACTAGCCCATTGTACCTTCTTGTAAATAAAATATTGTAATTATATTATTATTATTATTATTATTATTATTATTATTATTATTATTATTATTATTATTATTATTATTATTATTATTATTATTTTTATCATCATCATATCTAGTAGTGGTGGTGGTAGTGATGGTCAGTGTGTAGTGGTGGTGGTGGTAGTGATGGTGGTATTGGCCAGTGTGTAATGGTGATGGTGGTAGTGGACAGTGAGTAGAGGTGGTGGTAGCCAGTATGTAGTGGTGGTGGTGGTAGCTAGTGTGTGGTAGTGGTGGTGGCGGCGAGTGTGTAATGGTGGTGGTAGCTAGTGTGTGGTAGTGGTGGTGGTAGCTAGTGTGTAGTGGTGGTGGTGGCCGAGAGTGTGGTAATGGTGGTGGTAGCTAGTGTGTAGTGGTGGTGGTGGTACCTAGTGTGTGGTAGCGGTGATAGTGGTGGTGGCGGCCAGTGTGTGTATACATTCGATTAAGCAAGTGTTTGCCAGTCGCTCCCTGACACCAGGCGGGGCAGCACTGCACCTCTCCCTCTCATATCTCTCACACTCTCCTCTGCCAGACACATCAACTTTCCCTCATCATTCTTGTTCATCCTGACTTTGAAAACATTCTTGACCCTTGAGTTGTTACTCAACAGACGACGCCTCCTTCAACGGGGGATTCGACCGTTCTTGAGTAGTACTTCCTTCAGAGTACCCGTGTTCACAAGTCCGGCCGCCATTTAGTGAGGCTCGAACTGCCATACAGTCTCATCAGGAGGATGTTCCGCCACTGTGCAAGGCGTGTGGTGACGAGGGAGTGGCAGGCGTGCCCGCGCCCGGCGGCGTCCGGGGACATTCTCACTACCGGCGTCAGGGCCTTCCGGACCACCAGCATGGCCGATGACGCCGCCCCTAGCGCCAGCGTGGCGGACGCCGACGGCAGACTCCTGGAGAAGGTGCTGGCGCTGGTGCATCGCCAGAGGTCGGCCAAGGAGCCGCAGAAGGTGGTGGAGTTTGTGCATCCTCTTGACCTTCAGGTGAGTCACGGACCGTTTAGTCGGAGTAGTTTGTCACGGAGCCGTCCAGAGATCGGTGGGTGTGTTCCGCCCATCTTCTTGATGTGTTCCTCTGCACCCTAATTTCTCACCGTACCGTGGGAGCGTAGCGTTGTGTAGCCACAACGAGCCCTTAATGTTGCTATAACGTGCCCTTAATGTTCCTATAACGTGCCCATAATGTTCCTATAACGTGCCCACAAAGAGCCTCTAACGTTGTTATAACGTGCCCTTAATGTGGCTATAACGTACCCATAATGTTGCTACAACGTACCCATAATGTTGTTATAACGTGCCCATAATGTTGCTATAACGTGCCCATAACGTTGCTATAATGTGCCCATAATGTTGCTATAACGTGCCCATAATGTTGCTATAACGTGCCCATAACGTGCCCATAATGTGCCCATAATGTTGCTATAACGTGCCCATAATGTGGCTATAATGTGCCCATAATGTTGCTATAACGTGCCCATAATGTGGCTATAACGTGCCCATAATGTTGCTATAACGTGCCCATAATATGGCTATAATGTGCCCATAATGTGGCTATAACGTGCCCATAATGTTGCTATAACGTTCCCATAACGTACCTATAACATACTTATAATGTGGCTATAACGTGCCAATAATCAAACAGCTTCGTTTGAATCCAATGCTGCTTCAACTTCCTTTATAACAGTTTCCGCTGGACAATTCTTTTAGAAGGTCTATACTGGATTAGGATTTACTGGAGTTTTTTTCAGTGTCAGAGTAGTTACCAGGATGGAATGCATTAGGCAGTGATGTGGTGGAGGCTGACTCCATACACAGTTTCAAATGTAGATATGATAGAGCCCAATAGGCTCAGGAACCTGTACACCTGTTGATTGACGGTTGAGAGGCGGGACCAAAGAGCCAGAGCTCAACCCCCGTAAGCACAACTAAATGAGCACAACCAAGTGAATACTGGATATTACAGACGCCTGTCATCAGGTATGACAAAGAGAGAGAGACCCGGGTACCGCCGGGTACCCGCTGTTGTATGTCGGAGCGTTGTACCTGCGTCACTGTACTTGAATTTAATTTGTTTTATTTACCATGACCCTGATAAGGCTTCTTCTGTATTCCATTCAATACAGCGGAGATAACGCAAAGGCGTATTGCTACAATCATTACTAATGGTAAGACTAAAGTAATTTTTGCAGGAGGGAGGGGAGGGAGTTATCAGTGGGAAAAGCACCAAGCCATTACGACTATATAGCACTGGGAAGGGGTCAGGATAAGGATTTGGGATGGGACGGGGGAAAGGAATGGTGGCCAACCACTTGGACGGTCGGGGATTGAACGCGGACCTGCATGAAGCGAGGCCGTCGCTCTGCCGTCCAGCCCAAGTGGTTGGGTACAAACCTTCAGTTGGACTACATATGTTAAACACAGTAAAGTTGATTCAATAATCACCATTAATCACCATCAAAGTCCTCTTTGTCCATCACGAGGCGAAATCCTCTTTAGTTGAATAAACCCACGCGTCCTCCTCAACCAGGTGTGTGCTGGCCGCACCATGCAATACATCATACAATACTCATACAATACAACATACAATACTGTTGCCGATCATTCGTAATATGTTGCCATGCTCCGTGCGATTACGAACTGTGTCGCCTTGTTCGTGTTCCACCCATGGCCTTTAACCACCCTGCCAATTCCTCTGAGAATTGTGTAGGTGGTGATCATGTCTCCCCCCTAACTCTTCTGTCTTCCAGGGACGTGAGATTTAGCTCCCGTAGCCTTTCCTTATAACTCCTACCTCTCAGCTCCGTGCGATTACATGACCTAAATTTTAACCAGGCAGAGAGATAGCATCACCACCTCTAGCAACAAGTGGTGACCTACGCCTATACTGACTGCTGAGTACATAGCCGTTTGAGCCCATTGCTCGGGCATGTTGACCTATGACCTCTAGAAAGCTATATAGTAGGCATCCATCAGTCTCAGGAGACTATGGAGTTCCGGTCTGCTTGATAGTCTGAGGTGGCCTCTCCAGGGTGCAAAGCCAGGGGGTAGGTTAATACGGAGGAGAAGCTGTTACCCAAGCAGCAGGTTCCCCCTCCCCTTTCTCGTACACAGCTACTGTAAGTCATAACAGGGATTCAGTCTCCACATCCGTCGTCTAGACCAACTAACATTGGAAAAACAATTCATACAACACCTACCAGGTGTATAAATTACATCAAACACTTTCCAGAAATATAACGCATAGCTCTGTATACATAAAATAACTACCAATAACTTTATACATGGTAGCTGAGATCATAAAGTAGTTACCGGGTAACGAACCTGGGATGAGGGAGACGATATAGCTGGGATCCCTTGCCACTCGTCGCTATTAAATGGCGGATGTAAACAAAGCCCAAAACTACCACAAAATCAAATGAAAACCATAACAAATAGTAAACGGGGAATTGGGTGCTATTAGAATAATAATAATAATAATAATAATAATAATAATAATAATAATAATAATAGAATAAAATACCTTATTTGTGGACGCATATCTAAGATTAGATATCTCTGCCAGTTTACATATCACATTAGATAGCCTGGGGAAGGGGGGGGGGGGTAGAGGGATTGCTGAGTCCCGCCCTGTCGAGTCCCTTACTGATGTGATAACCCTTTCTTGTGGAGGGTAGTGTCTATAGCTCTTGGGTCCCGCCTCTCAACCGTCAGTCAAGTGGTGAATAGGTTTCCCGAGTCATTTTTGCCATGTCACGTGTCTACACGAAGCTCTGTATAGAGTCAGCTTGCTATCTATACTTTCTTGGTGACTCTATATAATTACTTATTGGACACAGCAACAATTATTCCCTGTATATCTATGTCTAATTTGGGTATTTATTTTCATATCGAGATCCTTCTTCATGTATCACCAATGCCTCTTTATTCTCTTCCTGTTGATCTTGTTAATTACAATGAGAATTTTGTATGTGAGGATCATGTCTCCGCTAACTCTTCTTTATTTCAGAGATATTAGGTTTAATTTTGTTTTTTAAGGTCTTAAAAAAACTTCAGGACTTTCTTCAGCTTTGTTTTGAGTTTAACGAAATTTGAATCCCGCAAATTATGAGACGTTTGGGCACGTTTCCTTTCGCCTTATACCGCTGTTCACCTAGCAGTAAATAGGTGCCCAAGAGTTAGGCAACAGTTGTGGGGGGGGGGGGGTTGCATCCTGTGGAAAGATTATTCGTAGGCCTGGATAGGAGGCCTAACTGGCTTCCGGTCCGCAGCAATGGGCTGCCAATTTCCAGAATTGGTGTGAAATTTGTAGAATTCAATGTCATGAACAACTTCTTGTTCAGATAACTAAAGGCAGTTATGTTGGTCTAATTTGTAAATGTTCTACCAAGACCCCCTTTCTCTCCCACACTATCTATTGCCTGGCGGAAGGATGAGTTATATATCTATCGTTGGTAAAAAGATAGATTATCTATTTATCGTCTGAAAATAGGGGGGCCATCTATCGTCTAGCGGAAAGGAATGCCAAATCAATCTATCGTCTGACGTAATTATGGGTTTTAAAACCTACCTAACTCTACCCATCCTAACGCAAACCCACCTAATCTAGCCCAACTCAACCGCACCTAGCACATCCTACCCTAACCCAACCCAAACTAACATAACACAAATCAATCGAGCCCAAACCAAACCTAACCTAAGGATATACATACACGGTTTGGGCAAACAGAAAACGAGCATCGTCGACCTATCTGGTGTACGAGTTAATTCTATTCCTGTAGGGGGAGGAGGGGAGACTACTCAAGACCCAGATATTTACGGGATGAGTCGCATCCGAAAATGATTTCATTCCAGAGCGCCCTGGAAATATGTTTGATGGTATAGTCAGTCCCGCTTGTATTATGTGCGATGCTTGGCGGTGGAAATGTGATACTTTAACTACGCGGCGCAAAAATGACATTATTGAAGATGGATGATGATGATAATAATGATTAATGGGAAATATATCTTTATTGGTTGCATTGGTTGGCAAGACAGGCTGCCACCATTGACCCGGATTTTCACTTCCTACTCCCCCACCCCCGTCAACCCTCCCCCACCCCCGTCAATCCTCCCCCACCTCCGTCAACCCTCCCCCACCCCTGTCAATCCTCCCCCACCCCTGTCAACCCTCCCCCACCCCTGTCAACCCTCCCCCACCCCTGTCAACCCTCCCCCACTTCCGTCAACCCTCCCCCACCCCTGTCAACCCTCCCCCACCTCCGTCAACCCTCCCCCACCCCTCTCAACCCTCCCCCACCTCCGTCAACCCTCCCCCACCCCTGTCAACCCTCCCCATCTCCGTCAACCCTCCCCCACCCCTGTCAACCCTCCCCCACCTCCGTCAACCCTCCCCCACCCCTGTCAATCCTCCCCCACCTCCGTCAACCCTCCCCCACCCCTGTCAACCCTCCCCCACCTCCGTCAACCCTCCCCCACCCCTGTCAACCCTCCCCCACCTCCGTCAACCCTCCCCCACCCCTGTCAATCCTCCTTCCCACCTCCGTCAACCCTCCCCCACCCCTGTCAACCCTCCCCTCGTGCCAAGGTTGGCGGGGACTGTCATATCGATGCCAGGAACCTCATGCGTCATGCCTATTGACCCGTGAGGGGGTGTGGTTGGGGGTCGTACCTCGTCCTTGTCAGGGTGTTTACCGAAGTCTTTTGTGCAGGCGCGTGCGTACAGTACTGTACACCTCTCCCATGTGTACATGATTGTCTTGGTCTCGTCTGCTGGGTGTATATGGGAATGTGTATACGTCTGTGTGCGTGTGTGGGCGGGTGGATGGATTTTTCTTCCGGTATAAGACATGTTGTGTGTGTGTGTGTGTGTGTGTGTGTGTGTGTGTGTGTGTGTGTGTGTGTGTGTGTGTGTGTGTGTGTGTGTGTGTGTGTGTGTGTGTGTGTGTTCACCTAGTTGTGTTTGCGGGGGTTGAGCTTTGCTCTTTCGGCCCGCCTCTCAACTGTCAATCAACTGTTTACTAACTACTTTTTTTTTCACACCACACACAAACACACACACACAGGAAGCAGCCCGTGACAGCTGACTAACTCCCAGGTACCTATTTTAGTGCTAGGTAACAGGGGCATTCAGGGTGAAAGAAACTTTGCCCATTTGTTTCTGCCTGGTGCGGGAATCGAACCCGCGCCACAGAATTACGAGTCCTGCTCACTATCCACCAGGCTACCAGGCCCCATATGTGTATACGTCTGTGTGCGTGTGTGGGCGGGTGGATGGATTTTTCTTCCGGTATAAGACATGTTGTGTGTGTGTGTGTGTGTGTGTGTGTGTGTGTGTGTGTGTGTGTGTGTGTGTGTGTGTGTGTGTGTGTGTGTGTGTGTGTGTGTGTGTGTGTGTGTGTGTGTGTGTCTGTGTCTGTGCTCAGTACAGATGCTTACAGCGACGAAAAAAAAGTTCGTAGCGAAGCGGTATCCTTCGTTACTCCAACTGACTAATCCAACAATTAAAAGCCCCCCCCCCAAATCATCGTTAACAACAAAAACACCGTCGAAGACCCGTCGGCTTCACGCCCATCCATCTCTCTCTCTGCACCGCAGAAACTGCTGGCGCTGCGGGTGGGGTCCTCCGCCGCGTCCCTGGCCGAAGCGGAGGAGGTGTTGGAACAGATAATGCGTTACAGCGTCATGACTAGCCACCCACACTTCTACAATCAGCTCTATGGAGGCATCAGCGAAGTCTCCCTCGCCGGTGCCTGGATCGTCGAAGCCCTCAACACCAACCAGTAAGATAGAGAAGGGGGAATGAAGGGGGCGATTATCATTAGAAGGGGTCAGGATCAGGATTTAAGATGGGACCGGGGGGAAAAGGAATGGTATCCAACCACTTGTGGACGGTCGGGGAGGATTGAACGCCGACCTGCATGAAGCGAGACCGTCGCTCTACCTTCCGGCCCAAGTGGTTATGTACACATCCCCCCCTAAGACAACTATGTGACTGACGGGACTATTGTTGCAGGCACACGTTCGAGGTGGCACCCGTGTTTACTATGGTAGAACACTTCGTGATCGCTCGCCTGGTTCAGCTGTTTGGCTGGCACGAGGGAGATGGCATCTTCTCTCCTGGTGAGTTGGCACTCTACTTGTGTGGTAAGTTGGCACTCTATTTGTGTAGTCAGTTGGCACTACACTTGTATAGTCGCTTGGCAGTAGTAGTGTACCACAATATCAGCCGCTTCTTAACAAGTGCTAACGTCAGTGTCATTCATGTGCAGGCGAGGAGTCACAACGTGGCTAAAGTATGTTGACCAGACCACACACTAGAAAGTGAAGGGACGACGACGTTTCGGTCCGTCCTGGACCATTCTCAAGTCTCACAATCAACTTGAGAATGGTCCAGGACGGACCGAAACGTCATCGTCCCTTCACCTAGTGTGTGGTCTGGTCAATGTCATTCATAACAAGTAATTGCAATACAATTCCTGACGTTAATTAACACAGCCGCAACGATCGCCTTCTGCACGCTCACAGCCCCGTTGATGGGCCAACCCCTTCCACATCCTTCCTATCCCTTCCCATCCAACCCCTCTTACATCCTTCCCACACCCCTTCCCATCCAACCTCTTCCACATCCTTCCCACACCTCTCCGTCATGCTACGGAACACATCATGGAAGTTTTAGTATCCTACAGGATGACAATACTGTAGGAGGCAGGATAAGAGTTTTGTATGAACAGTGTTGTGATTGCCGGTGTTGCGAGAGGCACTATATAAGAGTGTTGCGCATGACAACTGATGCAGAGTCCTGGTGTTGCAGGGGGCAGCGTGAGCAACATGTACGGGATGGTGCTGGCTAGACACCGGTCCCATCCTCACATCAAGAGGACAGGTGCCGCGGCTTCGAGCCCACTCGTAGCCTTCACCTCAGACCAGGTGAGAGGTCCCTCCCTCCCTCCCTCCCAGGCTGAGGGAAAGGAGAGAGAGAGAGAGAGAGAGAGAGAGAGAGAGAGAGAGAGAGAGAGAGAGAGAGAGAGAGAGAGAGAGAGAGAGAGAGAGAGAGAGAGAGAGAGAGAGAGAGAGAGAGAGAGAGAGAGAGAGAGAAAAAACTAAAATCTGTGGTGATTATTTATGATCAAATCCTTTATCATAAACTGAGTTGTTGATTCGTCATAGTATTGGCCCGCTGAACATGTCAGGAGTAACATTGAAGTGTTCTCTTCTAGATAATGTCAAAGGTTTGTTTTAGTTCAAAAAAAGCATTGAAACTTCTACCTATCCTCGGAGATTATTCTCAAGTTATAACTATAAATCGTTGGTTTAAAATATATGTATGTGTCATAAATGTTTTCTTTGAAGAATTTGGTTTTCTGTAAATAAAATTCTCGGGTACACTCAAATAGTTTTCGAATTCCATATTTCACATTATCGTCAATAATACACCATATTAACATAACCAAACGTAATGAAACCTAACTTAACCTAACCACATCTTAACATAAAGTAACCTTAACCTAACCTAACCCATGTCGTGGTGTAGTGGTCTAGGGTGCTAGCATGGGTATACCAAGTAATGCGGGTTCGAATCCTCCTCCCTCTTCCTACTGATTTTCTCATCATTATTAATTGTAGAAGTAGTGGTAGTAGTAGTAGTAGTAGTAACATTTTCAGTAACGTAATATCAGCAGCACTGTTGCTCCTGTTTGCCAACCTATATTCACTACTCCCATGTACTAAACATTATCCCCCTATCTCCCCGTAATCGTTCAGAGCCACTACTCTATCAAGAAGGGCGCGGCATGGCTAGGTGTGGGTATGGACAACGTAGTGACCGTCCAGACAGACTCCTACGGAAGGATGCTACCGCAGGCACTGAGGGAGGCGCTGAAGGAGGCCAGAGAGAGAGGCGGCGACCCCTTCTTCGTCAACGCCACGGCAGGAACCACCGTCTTGGGTGCCTTCGACCCGCTGGAGGAATTGGCGGATGTTTGTGAAGAGGAGAAGTTGTGGCTCCATGTTGATGTGAGTCCTGCACGATGGTCGCATCACCAAACACAACCTAACCGTGAACGTTTATTTAACGTTTTAACGTAAAAAAAAAGCGTTATTGTTATGTTTTGTGTTTTGTCCGCTCTCCTGCTGGGCGGATCTCCTCTATTCTTTAGAGTAAATAACTTTTACATAAATATCTAAATACGCAAAATGCGGAAAAAATATAATTAAGTACGAATCTTCATTAATCTATATGTAAATATTAGGGAAAATTTAGAAATTAAAATGATTAATATACAAATTAATATACCGGGCGACAAAGTCAACTCACGTACGAGGCACGGTTGAGGGCCACAGGACTAAACAACACTGCACACCAGGCATGACAGGGCGGCTCTCACTGAAACATAAAATACTGAACAGTTTGGAGGCTGTTGACACTGACAACTTCTTCTAAAGGTCAGATGTAACACAAACAAGGAGCAACGGTGTCAAGCTCAACAAGCCACAATGTTGGACTGAGAACAGGAGATGCTTCTTAACCCACAGGGTTTTAAACTCATGGAACCGCCTACCCGCTGAAACCGTAAATACTAAAACTCTGTTAACTTTTAACGGACAGTTGGAAAAGATCATCAAGGTAAATTGGGGATCTTGGACAAGCCGCTGGCTTCCTGTCCTCATCAAAGCCACTAGTGTTAGTGGCTCTCAGGTAAACTCAGGTAAACAAATGTCATTGGGCTAAGTTGCGTGTAATATACTTTCAGCTCAAATTTAATCTTATTATAATGAACAAGTCCACAAGGGCCGTGATGAGGGTTCGAACCTATGCACGGAAAGTGAATTTGTGGATTTCGGCCCATATGGATTTGCTCATTTGATATTGTGATTTTTGTGTGTGTGTGGATCTTATTTTATTTAATTATTATATTCAATTACACTCGTCAAATGTCTTCCCATTTTTCCTGAGTAATTTTTTCGAAATGAGTTTTGAAATGCAGTAATGTCAGGCATGGCTTATGCGGGTAGGCAGTTCCAAGGGTTATAGACTAGTTTATTACACTACGGGTTTGTTAATTGGCTCATGTGAGTCAGCTCCTATTTATTAGGAGCTTCTATTTATCAGAGCCTGTTAGGTTTATCGAGGTCTGCTTAGGACCAAAGAGCCAGAGCTCAACCCCTTCAAGCACAACTAGGTGAATACAAGTGTCTCCTAATTCCGGGTTACCTACTTGCTCCTTAGTGAACAGTCGCATCAGGTGTAAGGAAACGTGCGAAGCCAAAGTATATACACATATTGCTGATGTCTTGCTATTTTAAAGCTTAGTTTTCCTTTCCGTGACAGGCGTGTTGGGGAGGGACGACCATACTCTCCAAGACTCACAAACACCTCTTGCAAGGAATACACAGGTTAGTCCTCGCAACCTCGAATGTATCGTTTTCTTTTATTTACGTCATTTAAAAGAAAATGTAAATTTTCTTTACCTCAAACTATTTATTTACTTGCAGGCCGCACTAGAGTAGAGAAGCAGATGGTGTCACTAACATGCATTCTGGAGGATGTAATCAGGATGAAAATATTGGAACACTTGGAAAGGATAAATAGGGTTTATATGATTTACCCAAATTTACTTTATTTTAATTTTAAAGTGGACTGTATTTTAATAATTTTTGGAAAGGATAAACTTCTTAGCATTAATTTAGAGGAAGAAAGTCATGCCTGCTAAACTTGGACAAGTTCTATGATAAGATCACCACAGGAAAAAAAAACAAAGGCTGGTTAGACTGCATCTTCCTAGATTGCCCAAGAAGATTTGATATTGTTTCTCATCGAAGTGAGGTTTACAAGATAGAGATACAATCTTGGATAACTGGGAAAACATTGATCTGAGTTTATGGGAGTACCTAACGGACAGAAAACACAATATAACAACAATCAGAGAGGTATTAACATGGAACAACGTGACAAGTGGGGTCCCCCCCCCCATGGCTTTGTTCTGCGACAATTATTATTTTTAATTTACGTGAAGAACCTATACGAGAGTAGAATGGAATAATTAGGAGGAAGCACCAAGCCATTACGACTATATAGCACTTGGAAGGGGTCAGGATAAGGATTTGGGATGGGACGAGAGGGGAAGGAATGGTGCCCAACCGCTTGGACGGTCGGGAATTGAACACCGACCTGCATGAGAGTGAACTCACACATGCCAATGTTTACACATAATACAAAACTAATAAAGAACGTAAAAACCAAATGAGGACTACATAGTGATTACACACAAACTTTCATAAATCCCAAAAGTGGACAGATTAGAACTGACTCCAGCAAGTACTGAAGCTGGGAGACCAGAAGGAATCTACCCCAGATACTTGAAAGGAATCTACACGAATCGGAAAGAAAAATGAAGTTGGGAGTGGATGCCACTTCATTATGACCAAACCACACACCAGAAGATGAGGAGACGACGACGTTTCGGTCCGTCCAGGACCATTAGCAAGACACACATGAATTGCTAACGGTCCAGGATGGACCGAAACGTCGTCGTCCCTTCACCTTCTAGTGTGTGGTCTGGTCATCATATCTTCAGCCCCGTTATTGTGACTCATCGTCTGCACCATTCCATTACTAACACCGGAACTCACCAACTACAGATGTCAAGATAATTGTTCATTAATTACAATGATTAAATAATTAATTAATTTCACCCATTTATGTTATATATAACATTTGCAAGTTTTCACTCTTGTGGAACTGTTCCAGTATCGAGAGACTTAGTGGAAATAGCCAAAGATATAACTTAATGTTGAATTCGTTTAATGTTACAGCGACGGTCTCGCTTCATGTAGGTCAGCGCTCAATCCCTGACCGTCAAAGTGGTTGGGCACCATTCCCCCCTACGTCCCTTATTCTAATCCCTTTCAAGTTTAATATAGTCGTAATGGCTTAATGCTTAATAGTTACCGTTTCCTTCCCTTCGTTTAATGTTCTTACGTGTGTGTGTGTTCGGCCCATTCTCCTAAGATTCAAGAAAACGGTCAGTTTAACGTAGTCTCTCCTCACATACCAGAAGAACCAAAACAGAAAACGGGACAGTAAGTTACTTTTGCCAGCCGCTTCCATTTTCAAGTACGACCATTTTTTAACCTTATGTAACGCATACGAGCGAAATGCAACGTTCTTTGTAAATGTGTCTCATAGCTGCCCCATTACCACCAGGGCGGACTCCATCTCCTGGAACCCACACAAGATGCTCGGGGTCTCTCTCCAGTGTTCACCTTTCATCGTCAAACATAAGGTAAGTCTCACGTAACAAGAGTTTTTACATACGATAAAGCACGAATTATTTAGGAACAATCACTTGCGATTAGTGAGAAGGGGGAGACTCAAGATATTGTAATAGCGTCGTATGGGGGAAGTTTCTTGTGCTTATATTTACATATTTTTATCTGCTTGGGCTCTTGGGCTCCGCCTCAGAAGCTGTCGGTCGTCTTTTATGTGATCAAAGAGCCTTGTGGAACTGTCTTATGTACTTCAACGTGCCGTATGTAGGTGATATGTGGCCTGACACATTCCTCTTGTCTCTTGTAATGGTAGGACCAGTACAAGTAGTTGGGCATTTGTAATGGTGCATTCCCCGTAGTTCCGGGTGGCAGGTGGAATGACAAGTGGAATGACAAGTGGAATGACAAGTGGAATGACAAGTGGAATGACAAGTGGAATGACAAGTGTAATGACAGGCGGAATGACAAGTGGAATGACAAGTGGAATGACAAGTGGAATGACAAGTGGAATGACAAGTGGAATGACAAGTGGAATGACAGGTGGAATGACAAGTGGAATGACAAGTGGAATGACAAGTGGAATGACAGGTGGAATGACAAGTGGAATGATAGCTGGAAAGCCATTCTTTATCCTCACCCCCTTCACTGTCCCTCACCCCTCACCCCTCACCGTAGGGGTTGCTATTGGAAGCCAACTCAGCCAGCGCCACCTACCTCTTCCCGCAAGACAAATTCTACGACATCAGCTACGACACGGGGGACAAGAGCGTCCAATGCGGCCGCAAGGCGGATGCCGTGAAGCTGTACCTCACCCTCTCCCTACACGGCCTCTCACACATCCAGGAGCGCGTGGATAATGCCTTCAGCGCGGCCAGGTGGGTACACACTGCAGGCGAGGAGTCACAATAACGTGGCTGAAGTATGCTGACCAGACCACATACTAGAAAATGAAGGGACGTCGTCGTTTCGGTCCGTCCTGGACCATTCTGGGTCCAGAATGGTCCAGGACGGACCGAAACGTCGTCGTCCCTTCATTTTTTAGTGGATGGGTATATACTCATGCCTATCCCGTAGGATAGGTGGGTTCTAGGGTAGGGAAAGAGGGTTATAGTGGATAGCTGCTATCCCCCGACAATGGGATACTAAGCCAATGATATCATTAGTTCAGTGAAGAATTAGCTTCTAATCTGCTCAAACACTTGGGGGCTGGACGGTAGAGTGACGGGCTCGCTTCATGCAGGTCGGTGTTCAATCCCCGACCATCCAAGTGGTTGGGGCACCATTCCTTTCTCCTCCGTCCCATCCCAAATCCTTATCCCGATCCCTTCCCAGTGTTATATAGTCGTAATGGCTTAGCTATTTTCCCTGATAGTTCTCAAGAATCTTTAGATATAATAGTTATAGCTTTTCAAATATAAATTAAAATACAAAGGGTCTGACATATTTTTACATAATAGATACTAATAGATACTAATAGATACTAGTCTATCATAAGGGATATATATATATCTACTATGCAAGATTCTATTGGCTGCTGTGTGACATATAAGAAGGGAAGGAAATTCTCAGGGGGAAGCGCCAAGTCATTACCACTATAGAACACAGGGAAAGAGGTCAGGATAAGAATTTGGAATGGGACGGTGGAAAGGAATGGTGCCCAACCCACTTGTATAGACGGTCGGGGGATTGAACACCGACCTGCATGACGCTCTACCGTCCAGCCCAAGAGGCTGAAATAAGACGAGGAAGCATGTATAGTCTCACATACCTGCATATTCCTACACGTACTAATAGCTCCACATAAATGTTCTCTAAAATATGGGTGGTTA